CGACTACCCTCCCGTCGGTCCCGTCCCAACGTAATAACCCCCCCCCTACCCCCCCCCACCCCCCCCCCCGACCCCCACCCCTCCTCCCTCCACCCCTCCACCCAGCCATGTCGTCCAGGGACGAGCTGTTGGCTGCTGGACGGGCAAAGGTACGAAGATTGTGATTGTGATAGAAGTAGAGGGATGGAGTATGTGTGTGTGGTTGTGGATTTGGTTGTGGCTGTGTGTGCTGGCGAGCTGGAGCCGTGTTACTGGCTGGGCTGGTGATGCAAGGGCCGCAAGCCGAGCTAGCTGGTGATGCAGGGCCGCAAGCCGAGCTGGAGCTGTCTTGGCGATGCAGGGCCGCAAGCCGAGCTGGAGCTGTCTTGCTGGCCAGCTTAACTGGCTCTCATCCCCTGCAAGATCTATGCTCGACCAACGCTATCGCTTATCCTCCCCCCCGTCCCCCCCTCCCCCCCCCACACACTTACATCTCAGGCCTGGCCCTGCCGAGAGACAGTTCAACAGATTGAGGTCAAAGAAGAGTAAGGGCCGTCGTAAGAAGAAGGCACAGGAGCCACCACCCAGTCAACCATCAACCGTGGAGCCGACGCCTTCTCCCACCCCCACAACCCCCCCTGTCTCTGCCACCGCACTGAAACCCGCACCTGCACACGCCCCGGCAGCGTTGCCTCCTCCCACGTCTACTGTCCCCAAGTATGAAGAGGGCAAGTCCGTGAGCACCCGGATCCCGCGGCCCAAGGCGGCCGTCACAGCGCCGATCACCCCGCCCGCCCGCCCGGCCCACTTGCTACGGGAAGAGACCCCACCGCAGCACTCGCCACAGCCCGAGACGCCGAAGACGCCAGCACGCAAGCCCCCCCCACCAACTACCGCAGAATCACCAGCAACACGGGTCTTCAACCGCCACGCAGAAGCTATGGCCCGCTTTCAGGAGCACACCCAGGAATCGGCCCGCAAGGCGGCGCAGGCCCGCGATCGTGTCGCCGCGTCGTCGGCCCAGGCATTGGCGGTTCGCCACGCCGTCTCTCCAGCCCCACCGGTGCCGGTCGTCCCCGCTCCGACAGCGCCAGCTTCCGTCGAAATCACTCATTACCTCGAACGGCTCGCCGAGCAAGAAGAGGCCATCATTGCACTCGAGCGCAAGGTTTCTGCCAAAGATGATGAGCTCGCCAATCAGGCCGAGCGTGTGGCCGAGCTGGAGGCCGACTGCCAGTCGCTGCGCACTGCTGCTGAGGCTGCGCGCGTGGCCAAGGAAGCCGCCGAAGGCGAGCAGGCCTCGCTGCGAGATGCGCTCCACATGAAGACTTCCGACTATGTCAAGCTCAAGGCCCAGCTGCACGAAAAGTCCATCAAGCTCCAGCAAATGCTCGAAGTTAACTCGATCACCGCTTCCACTGCAGCTGGAGACTCGCAGGAGGACATCCTCGCCGGCCTGCTCGGCCCCAAGCGTTCAGGCGCGTCGTCAGCCGGCTCGGCGTCTCCTGCCACCGCCAACTCGCCTCGCTCCGTCTCGTACACCGCAGTCATGGCCTCCAAGGAGACTGGTGCTGCTGCGGATGACCCCCAGCTCCAGGTTCGCAAGATGTATGAGAAGATGCATGTCTATCGCTCGCAGGTCAACAAGGCTCGCGACGCCAATGCCGCTTTGCAGGCTGAGCTCGACGCTGCCCGCAGCGACGCTTCGGTCGCCCGCGAGGAGCTAGCCACCATCAAGGCATCACTCCATGCCTCGCTCGAGGACCTCGTCGCCGAGCGTAACCGTCTCGTGAGCGAGCTTGTGCGAACCCAATCCGCACTCGAGTCAGCTCGCGCTGCCGCTGCCGAGCCCGCTCCAACCCCGACCCCGACCTTGACCCCGACCCCGGCTCCGATTCCGGTCTCGGTCCCTGCTCCAGAAGCACCGGCCCAGCCTCCCGCTTCAACTTCCGAGCCTCCAGCTCCCACTCCGCCCTCCACCGAACTCCAAGCCATCCGCGCTCGCCTCGAGGAGACCACGCGCGAGCTTGCCCAGGCCCAGACCCAGGAGGAAGCCCTGGTGATCAAGGTCCAGAAGCTCTCGGCCGATCTCGAGCTTGTCACTGAAGACCGTGACGCGCTGCTCGGTGCGCTTGAAAAGAACTTGGCCACCATTCAGGCACTCGAGCGCGACAACTCGCAGTTTGCAGAGACTATCAACGCCACCGTGGCCATCCGGGCTGCGCCGTCTGGCCCGCCAGCACCACGCTCGTTCTACGATGCCAACCCGGTCCTCCAGCCGCCGCCGCACATCCCAGCCCGCCACACCCCGCGGCGCAGTGAGACCACGACAGCGACCACATCCGCCTACGCGGGCTCGTACTCGGCCTCGGGATCTGCCTCGGCCGCGGGCTCGATCTCACCCGCCCATGGTCACGCCCAAGGCCACGTAAGCCCGCATCCGGCACCTCACGCCCAGCCGCCGCGACCGCCATCACCCAAGCCTTTTGTGTTTTCGCTCCTCTCCTGGTTTACGCCCGCCTCACTCGCCGAAGATCGCCCCACCTTGGAATGAACACACTGGCTCTATGTCGTCCGAGTCGCGCGCCTAATCGCCGTTCGTCGTCGTCCCCCTCCCCTCCCCTTGCCCAAACTCCCCACGTGCAAGACCACACCCCACCTCGCTTGCTCAAGGTACATGTACCGGGTAGACGCCCAGACGGGGGCACTTGCCGCAGGAACGGTGCGGCTTCGTGCGGCACCGTCGCCTGCCCAGGTGGTGGACGGCTCGCGGGAGTTCGTCCAGCCGCGCGGTCTGGCGCGGCTTCCGCCACTTGCTCGCCATCATCAGCACGAGTCTGGTGAGGAGGCAAGGAAGGGAATGAGCGCGACGAAAGGCGGGCATGAGCCGGATGGTCAAGGCGGAGGAGCAGGAGGTGAAGATGTGCCGCTGGATGAGCTCGTCTCGCCAGCAGACATGACCGAGAGCATCCGCTACCTGCTCGACGTGCTCGACGACTCGGCCTCGGGCAAATGGAGGCTGCATCTGGCGGATCATCATCGCCGGGCAGACAACCTGCGTCGTCGAGCTCGGAGATTCGAGTCGACCAACTGGTCATCGTCAGAGTCGTCGTCGATCTCGTTGGACGGTATCGACGGCCTCTCGCCACGGCGTCGTCGTCGCCGTCGCCGTCGCCGGAGTGGCTCTCGCCGCGGCTCGGTGGCGCACTCGCGGAGCCACCACGGTGACGACGATGGCGAGTCGGACTCGGACCGCGGCCCGCTGCCAATGCATGAGCCGGTTGACTTGGAGGACACCATCATGCGCACCTTCCCAGGTCTTTACGGCATCACTCGCGTGGCGCGCGAACTCGACGCTGTCTCCCGCGAAATCGATACTACCATGAAGCCGCTGGTCATGCCCGGCCAGGAGTTTATCGACATTGACCAGACTGTGGCGGCCAACGAGATTCTGGTCGAAAAGCAAAAGCGCGCCATCCACATGGTGCTCGAGTGTTTCGAGAAGAACTCGGTCTACCGCGACAACGCCCTCGAGTCGCTTCGCGTCTGGTTTGAACTCACCCGCTTCTCAGAGCTCGAGGGCATCGAGAGTGAGTCAGTCGAGGACTTGCCGTCGCAGGCCTCCATTAACTCGGCCATACACCAGGTCACCTCCAACTCGCGAAGGCTCCGAAAGGTTCACCACGACACGCTCGAGTTCTGCAACTCACAGATCTCCCGTGCCACCGCTACCGTGGGCAGGATGTCGCAGGCGCAGATCGCCGATCTGCAGCATGCGCTCCAGATGGCGTCGTCGTCGCTCGAGCAGCTCAACGCGGAGAACACCACTCTGGGCCACCAGCTTGTAGCGGCCCAAGAGTCGGCCGCAAGTGCCAACGCCCAGCTCAAGGAGGCTCGGGTCCTGTTGCAAGACTCGCACGTCAAGTTTGACGCTGCGCTGCGCACGTCCGAGCAAGAGGCCGCCGCCAACATCGGCATGCTCCGCAAGGAGCTCGACGACGCGCGCGTCGAGTTGAAGAAGACCGAGGAGGCGTACAAGGCGGCAGCCAAGGACAACACCGCTGCAGACCACCGCAAGATCATGCTGTTTCTCGAGGGCCAGTTTGGCTCGCAAGTGTCTATCAAGGGCTACATGCGCGCCATCATGACCACCGTCGCCGACGCTCGCAAAGCTCAGGCCGCGCCCCACGCTGGGACCAACATGGCGCACGCCGCCGAGCTGCAGATGGTCCGCGAGCAGTACAAATCGGAGCTCAACCGTCTGCTGGCGCAGCACGAGCTTGAAATGCAGGACTTAGAAGCTGCGCGGGATGCGGCGCTTGCAGCCGTCTCGAAAGAGCTGGAGATCGCACGCGACGACATTGCCCGGCTGCAAGAAGAGCTGGACATGGTCGACATCCGGTGGCACGGCAAGATGGAGGCGCGCGAGAAGGAGCATGCGGCCCGACTTGATCTCGCCCAAGGCGGCGATGGCTCTGGCATTGGAGGAGGTGAGAGTGGTGGTGCAAGTGGCAGCGGCGGTGAGAAGGGCCACGAGCGCACCAGTGGCAAGGGAGGCACAGGCGGTAACCGTTCGCTTCGCGAGCAAGTCAAGCGCGCAACTGCCAACCTCAACGCACGCGTTGAGCGTCTTCAGCAAGAGCTGGCCGAGTCGAAGCGGTACGCTGCCGAGTTGAAACGCCAGCTCGAGCAGCTGCAGCATTCTTCAGTGCCGGATCGCTCGGTAGGGAGCACAGATGGCCGACGCCGACCGTCCGTGAGCTCGGTGACTGCGTCTGCCGCGGCTGGCGACTCAGATCGGCTCGCCAAGCGGACTCAAGTGCTCACCACCCAGTTGCGATCGGTAATGGCGTCGAAAAAGGAGCTGGAAGAAAAGGTTGAGGAGCTGGAAGCCAGGCTCACGGCTGCTAACCGCTTTCCGAAGGGAAATGGAGCCACTGAGGCCCAAGCCCCGGACAAAGTCGCTTCCGAGCCCCGGACAAAGTCGCTTCCGAGTGGCGAGCTGAACCCGAGCTCGAGCCCGAGCCCGAGCCCGAGTGGGACATTCGGGAACAACTCACAGCGGTGCTGCTCGACCTGCCATCCACGTCGGACGAGCTCATGATCTTCCTGGCGACCGCCTCTCAGTCGGAGCTCTTGGCCAAGTTCTACGAGCTCGAGGCGGCGCTGCAGACGTCGCTGGAGCGGGAGCACTCGCTTGAGTCCAAGTTGGTGGCGGCCAAGACCGAAGCTGCAGCCGAAGACCGAAGCTGCAGCCGAGGCTGCCCACGGAGCCACATTTGTGACGTCGGACGCTGCGACGCAGACGCCGGCTTGGTTTGGAGACTCGAATCCCACGATGCCGCGCAGTGCAGACGTTCCGACATCGATCTCATCACCCGCGCTGCCAGGTGACGCCGACTTGAGCGTCCCACAAGATGGCAACCTTCCACGGACGATGTCGGTGGCTGTGCGAAGCCACTGGCCGGCGCGCGAGACGTGGTCCGTCTCGTCGGGTGAGTGCTCAGACGACGACGCACAGTTTGTGTCACTTGCCGGCTCGCCACCGTCATTCTCGGGCTCGCCACCGACGTCGCTGGCATCGCCTCCTCCTCGTTCTACGAGGCTTCCCCGGGCTGCCACAGTGGCCAGCATAGACTCGGACGATGATGGTGATGGCGACGACGCCATTAGCGTCGGAAGTAGCGAGGCGTCCGGCAGCGGTGGATGGGGGGGAGGCCCGGCGCTGCCTGCACCGGCGCCTATTCCCGACCTTGGCCCGGAAGCTGTTGCGATGATGGTGATGGCGACGACGCCATTAGCGTCGGAAGTAGCGAGGCGTCCGGCAGCGGTGGATGGGGGGGAGGCCCGGCGCTGCCTGCACCGGCGCCTATTCCCGACCTTGGCCCGGAAGCTGTTGCGCTACAGACACAGGCCGAGTGGGGCCCGTTTGAGACCCTCAAAGCTGTTGTGAACAAGTGGGATGAGCTACACGCGGCCGAGGACGAGTTGCAGAAGGAAATCGCTGAGCTGCAGAGCGAGAAGGCGATGGCGAGCTGGCCGACGCGGTGACCCGTGACGGAGTCGAGGCGCGGCTGGCAAAGCTGGAGCGGTCTATGCTTTTCCTTCGAGCGCATGGCTTTAACGAGGTGGATGTTCACGCATCGGTCGATGCATCGCTTGGAGTGCTGTTTGCGACGTCGCCGTCGTCCGTGGAGCATGTGCGCGGGACTGTCCGCCCCATTCTGGAAGCGATGGTACGGGCGCGAACCGATCTCTCGCGAGAGCGGTGCAAACCAGCAGCGGTGGCGCGGCAGTTCAGCGAAGTGCTTGGCGAGGCATGGAGTGCGCTTGACGCCTGCCTGCATGAAAACGAGCTGGCAACACACGAGAGTGTGGCCAAGATGACGGCGATTCGGCAAGTGGTGGGTGACTTGCGCGGCCACCTCGGAACGCATGTTAAGGCTGTGACCAAGCATGGTCACTCTGCAGTGCCCGGTAAGACGGTGCGCAAGTTCCGCAAGCTTCTTGGCTACGCCGGCGAGTACATGGACGCACTGCCCGGGCGCGTGGCAGCCGCCGCCGTGCGGACGCTCTCTGCGCCACGGGACAAGATTGATGTGAGACGCGATCCACGGGCGCACGAGCTTCTCTCGGCGTTTGCCACGTCTGTCTTGGAGCCGCTTGCTGAGCAGGTGCGTGAGGCACACCGTCTGGCTGGCGAGGCACGGCTAACGACGCGAGTGGAACGGCTGGAAAGGGCTCAAGAGCTGCGCGACTTGCTCCGCGGCATGGCGAGCGAGGTGAACAAGGTGGTGAGTGCTGCTGTGGCATACACGCCGCTGGCTCGGTACCTGGATGTGCATGCGACGGAGCTTGACCGAGCGCGGCGGGGGCTCAACGAGGCCACAATCCAGTTTGCACGGTCGCCTGTGACGCCGTCGTCGCGGGTCCGTGACGCCTTGATGGGGGCCGTTGCTGAGGTTACCAACGCGCTGCACTCATGGAGCCGCGAGAGCCTGGCTGAGGCAGGCTTGTGCCCCACCCAAGTCGAGCTTCTCAGCGAGGTTGTTTCCGCACGGGCAGCAGGCAGCTGGGCGCGCGTGCGTCTCAATGAGGCTGTGGCTGTGGCACGGAAGACCATTTTGAGCATCCGCGACGCGGCTGATCACCGAGCGCTGCAGAGTCTACAGGAGCGCGCGACCGATGTTGCTGCGCAGATGGAGATGTACGCTGAGTGGCTGGTGGCGACAATGACCGACGGCAGTCAGCGTGGCGTCATTCTGGTCCGGGCTCGGATGCTGGCGGACTCTGTGCGTGATGCGTATGCGGTGGCGGCTGGGCGCTATGATGGGAGGGCAGAGACAACTGCGTCGCATGCGCTCCGTGTACGGATGCTCGATGTCAAGGCGCGACTCACTCAAGCTTTGCAAAAGCGCGAGATGCAGCAGATGGAGCTGGAGCGAGTTGTGGTCTCGTCGTTCACTCCGCTGGCCAAGCTGATGGTTCACAGCGGTGGCGGCGACAGTGGCCAGCCAAGCAGCGACCAGGGCTCACCTGGAGCCAAGCCGTTGCGCAGCGGTGGGGGTGGATCCGGCCCTGCTGCTGCCGACGCAGGCAGCAGCATGGCGGGCGCTGGCCCGAGCATTCCGCTGCCAGACAAGAACGCGTTGCTTGAGCAAGAGCTTCAGCGGACGGCAGAAGAGCTGAAAAACCTTGACGCGGCAGGATACCAGGGCATTGGGCACGAGTACAAGAGCGCACGGAGCCGCAAGTTCCACGGATCAGGCTTTGGTGTCCATGTCGATGTCCAGGGGAGGCTGTTTGTGGGCCGGTCACTGCCGAAAGACTCTGCCTTTTACGGCATGGCAGAGCTAGCCGACGCTGTGGTGGTAGGATCGGCGCTGGGTCCGGTCAAAGACGAGCCTACGTCGCCGCACGAGACTGAAGAAGCTCGCTCGTCACGAGTGCTGGCGCAGATGGAGGCGCTGACCCAGGCTGGCACGCTTGAGGAAGGGCCGGCGGCACTGATGCTGGAAGCTGTGCTTGGGGCCGACGACGAGGGCGAGGACAGCAGCAAGAGTGAGTTGAGCGATGAGGCGAGCAAGAGCAGCAAGGCTCGAGCGAATAGCAAGGTGCTGTTGGGCTTGCGGCGGCTGTACCTTTCGGCATTGCATGCAATGCGGGAGATGAATGACGGCTTTGCGGCGGTCCATCAGGCTGTCGGTGCGTTTGGCAGCTCTGTAAGACGGAGTCTTGGCACCGGTGCGAGGCTGCTTACGTTCAACGTAGGCGGCTTGGAGAGTAGCTTGCCGACAGAAGGCGAGCAGTTGAGCTGGCAAGAGTCTGTCCGCTCGGACATCGACTCGCTTACCGAGCTTGTCATCGCGATTCAGGCACGGATTGAGGGCTTGAGCGAGATTGCGCGTCAGCAGCAGGAGCAACACGGAAGTAGCGGAGGCAGTGCCGGGCACAGCGGTGGGCCGTCTGCGGCGGCACAGGTGCTTGAGATGCAGCTCTCGCTTGCAGCGGCTCGGGCGGATGTCAAGGCGGCGCAGCGGATGGCAATGGAGCGGTCCCGCGGCGAAGAGCGAGCGCGGCGACAGCTCGATGGGTTCCGGCAACGTGAGGGCTTTTTGGTGCACACACTGCAGGCCAAGGACGCGGCGCTTCGCGAGCTGCGGGCGCAACTTGTCAAGCTCCAGCGGGCGATCGAGGCGCACGACAAGTGGCTTAAGCTGCATCGGGTCGACGAGGAGGCCATGCTTGCGGCGGTGGATGCCGAGCGTGAGCGGATGGTGCGACAGGCGGCGGTGGATGCGCAAGAGGTGGCGTACCAGCGAGAAGTGCGAGCATTGTACGCGCATGCTGAGCGGCGGGCTGGCGGCGAGCGGCGGGCTGGCGGGCGGCGGGCCGGCGAAGGCGGGGGAGTGATCGAGGTCGGTAAGCTGCGGTTTGAGCTTCCGCATTTGGCTTCACCGGTGATGGATCCCGCTGCGCGGAGGGTGGCGAGCAGCTCGCCGCCGCGGCGGTACTCTACAGTGCGGTCGCCGTCGCCACGGAGCAGCGGCGCCGGAGTCGGGCGAGGCCGCGGGATCGGGCGGACCCGTGTTCGTGGCGAGGCTGGCGGGCTGCGGATGAAGTCTTTCGCGTCCAAGTTTGTGTAGCTCTCCACGGATGGCTAGTCTCCATGCTAGTGCAGGTGCAAGCGTTGTGCCAGTTTGTTTGTCGGGTAAAAAGGTTACAGCTCGTCGTCCGAGCCAAAGACAGGAGCGAGGCCGGCGCCGAAGCGATCGGCCTCAAGGTCCTCGTCCGAGTCATCGACGAAGCGAGTGGGCGGGGCGGGGGCACCCGAGATGGCCATTGCCGGAAAACCAGAGGCCGGGCCACCGGTGAGCATGGGCATGAGGACCTTGACGGAGCCGACGCCGCCGACAACGCAGAGGACGGTGATGAGGAAGAGCGGGACGATGGCGACAGCCTTGGAGGTGGACTTGAGGTTGGCGGGGGCAGAAGCGGTGCGGACGGCGGTGGCGAGATCATCGGGGGTAGCCGTCACACGGTTGCCATTGACAAAGAGAGCAGGAACGTCATAGATGCCATCGGCAACGATGGCCTTCCAGCGGGCCTCCATGTTAGCATCGTGGCCCTTGAGGGCTTCCTTTGAGTCAACGCCCGTCACATCCTTCAGCTTGTCAAAAAAGGCATCGTCCGAAGTCGTTTCGACCAGTTCCGACTGCTTGGAGAAGACCTTTTCCGAGTAAGACCACCAAAGACTGTCAGCATCACCTTCACCCGACATGGCGGCGTCCAGCGAGGCCGTGGCCAGACGCCACGAGTGCTGAAACTGGGGCATAGGCAGAGGGTATCCCACCACATGCACATCATCCATGGTCTTCAGCCTGTTGTACAGCACTCGAGACTCTGGGCATGAGTAGTCTGCACCATATCACCCATACCCATCCCTGTGCTGTGAGTGTGTGTGTGTGTGTGGCGGGGGGAGGGGGAGGGGGGGGGGGAGGTGTGGTGGTGACAGGATCCGAACATTTCTCCAGGTGATGAACAAGTGTGCGGGGGAGGGGAAGGGAAAGAGGGAGGGGGGGAGGTGGGACAGTCAGGGCATACCAAGGTAGACTTCCACGAGGATCCCGTCCGAAGGGCCCTGGGAAAAACCAGACACAGGGGAGGCATGGCATTGGTTGGTGGTGGTGTAGAGGCACAGGAGGAGAAGGAGATAGAGGTAGCTTTGGGTCGCCATGGTTAGGGGGCCGAGTGGTTGGTGGGCAGGTTGGTTGGTTGGTTGGTTGGTTGGTTGGTTGGTTGGTTGGGTGAGGTGCGAGTCGAAGCCGAGGCGAGGCTCAGTGAAGTGGGCCGGGGAAAGGGTTTCGGTCGCTCGAAAGAAATGAGTTCGGGGGGATTGGGCCTAAGGCTGCAGTAGAGGTGGAGAGGTTGGGAAAGGGGGAGGGAGGGGGAGGGGGGTATGAGTGTAACAGACGGTAGGTATATTTGATCGAATCGAAAAGTGTGGTAGCAGATGTGTTACATATTGATGGCTCTGTGCAGTGAGTATGGTGGAGATCGTGGTGGAAGGGGGTGCTACTGCTGGTGGCTTGTCCTTGCCACGTCGGACCGGTGTGCGAGGGCGGTGTGTGTGTGTGTGTGTGTGTATGTGTATGTAGTTACGACGTGTATATCAAAAGCTAGTCAATGGTGATCAAGCCCAAAGTGTGGTAGGTGGTGTATCACGCACTAAAAGCTATGTATGGCGAGTATGGTAGACATCGCGTTATGTATGGTGTCGTTGGCGGCCTTCCCGCACCACGTAGGACCAGGCATCGGTGGACGGTTGTCGAGTGCGGGCGACCCTTCGCCAGCGACCGAGTCGAGGCTGTATAGGCGGGAGACAAGCGAAGCAAAGATGAGGGATCACCTGACTACGTTCCACGCGGTATGGCGCGTACGACAGTTGTGTTTGCGGTTGTCTGCGGGCTTGCCCTCCTACTCTGTGGCCTTCTCCCTGCCACCTCTGCTCACTCGGCCGACGACGAGTTTGACGACGACCTGACCGAGGTCGATTCTGATGTGGTCATTCTGGGCGATGACAACTTTGATGCCCGTGTCATGGACGGTTCCTGGCTTGTCAAGTTGTACGCTATGTCGACCCTGTGTGTGTGTGTGTGTGTGTGTGTGTGTGTGTGGAGGTGGGGGGGGGGGGGGAGAGGGGGTGTATCCTTGTTGGGCACTGTGCTTTTTCTGGAGGAAATGATGAGCAGGTATATGATGAGCAGGTTGATGAACAGGCTGATACACTCACGATGAGGCAACGTGATGCTGCTGCTGCTGCTGTTGTTGTTGTTGCTACTGCTTCTTCTGCTGCTGTGGTTTTGACTATGACGATGTTCGTCGTGGCTGCGTTCGACATGACACACATGGTTCTCCCGTTGTCCACTGGTCCTCTGCTCCACTGGTGCTTGCTGCTCACGCACACTATAGCTATGCCCCGTGGTGTGGCCACTGCAAGGCTATCGCTCCTGTGTGGAAGGAGACGGCCTCCCATCTCCTCGGCGTGACGTCGATGGGCAAGGTCGACTGCACCGTGCACTCGTCCATCTGCTCCCGCTACGGCGTTCGCGGCTATCCGACGCTCAAGTACTTCAAGGATGGTGTGCCGCGCGACTACCGCGGCGGCCGCTCGGTCGAGGCCCTTGTCGCCTACGCCGAGCGCATGGCTGGCCCACCTGTCGCTATCCTCGATGACGATGCCTCCGAGAAGGACTTTCTGAGCAAGGACGGCACCAAGTTTGTGGCCTACACTGCTGACGACGACGCTGACCTTGCCGACGCGTTTGAGGACGTCGCCGAGCGCTTTGTCGAGCATGCATTCTTTGGCCTCACCTCTGACCCGGCCATCGCCACCAACGTCTTCCTCAGCGACAAGTCCTCCGGCATCGTCGCCATCAAGTCGGACGAGACCGTTGTGTACGAGGGCGCCCTCGACAACGTCGACGCCATCCGCACCTTTGTTGACATTCACCGCTACCCGCTCCTTGCCGAGCTCACCGCCGCCAACGCTGCCGACTACACCGGCTCGTCCAAGATGATTGCCCTCACCATCGTCAACGGCCGCCGCAAGAAGAAGACCTCCAAGTACCTCGAGGTCGTCGCAAAGATCGCCCAGGACAAGCGCGGCGACTTCCTCTTTGCCTACATCGACGGCACACGCTGGTCCAAGTTTGCCGAGGACATGGGCGTAGCCGAGAAGGACATGCCGCGCACCGTCGTCTGGCACCCGTCCGAGTCGATCCACTACCACGATGTTAACGTGACCAAGGCCTCGGCCGTCGCCGACTTTCTCGACCGCGTCGTCGCCGGCGAGGTCGAGGCCCAGGGTGCCGGCGCCGGCCTTGTCTCGCTCCTTCAGCGCTTTGCCTCTACCGCCATGGACGCCGTCGGACCCGTTGGCGTCGCTGTTGGCACCTTTGTCGCCATGGCTCTTTGCGGCCTCTGCGTCTGGGCCGTCTTCTCCGATGACGACGCCTTGCCCGACGCCGCCCCGCCGTCGACCCTCCCGCCGTCGACCAAGCCGAAGAACGAGTAAATGAGTTTATCCTCTCGTCGCAGGCTTTGGCTTGGGTGCGGGCTTGGGCACGGGCTTGGGCGCAAGCTTGGGCACCGGCAGTGGCTTCTTCTTAGTTGTTGCCGCAGGCGGCGGCGGCGGCAGCGGCTTGTCCGGAATCGTCGCCGTTGTCTTGCGCGGCTTCGGCAACGGCTTGAGCACGGGCTTGGACTTGGCCTCTACAAGCATGGCCGGCGTCGGCGCTGCGTGAGTGGGCCGCTTTGCCTTGGGCTTGCTGGCGCCGCCGCTCGCAGCTGCGATCTCGGCCACGTACGTCATCGGGAAGATGCCTTCGGCCAACGAGCCCACCACATGCCCGAGGCCCCAGCCGTCGTCGTATGATTCTTGCACGACGAGCTTGTCGCCTGCGCAGAACGTGAGCTCATCGTCCTGCCGCCCGTTAAAGTCGTACAACGCCCGGTACCGCCTGCTGGTAGTGCCACCACGCCCGATGGTCACTAGCGGCGCATCATTGACCATCGGGAGAGGAGACGTGGCTGACGCCGATGCCATCGGCTTCCCCACCGCAAACCCGGCCATGTCGGTCAGCTCATCGTCAGTGGTCCCCAACCGCGATGTCGTCGACCATGCCCGGATGTTCTGCTCGTGCGCTCGCGCGCGGATCACAAGCACGACCACGACCACGACCACAATGCAGAGCAGGAGGCCGCCGGCAAGTGCGGCCCAAATCCAGGCTTTGCCTGCGGTCGCTGCAATCACCGAGGGCGACGGTGCCGCGGCGCCAGTCCCTGGCTCTGCCGCCGTAATCTGGAACCGCGCTCCGGTTACGCCGTCGGCGCGGAAGACCGAGACAAAGAGCAACCCCGATCGCGTCGAGTTGACTACAAACGAGTGTGTCTCCAGCTCGGCTCGCTCAGAGGTGTACTCGTGAATGACAAGGCCTGATGCCCGGTTAGGAATCTCAGAGAACGAGCCGTAGAGGTACACGCCCGACGCCGCCCGGGTCCCGGCCGTAGCGCTCGACGCCGAGGTCACACTGATCACCACATCGACACCGCCCGGGAGAAGCACTGTGAATGCTCGTCCCTCCCGCTCCGAGTTGACGACACTTTCCAGCGGAAAGCCGAGCGAGAGTGGGTCCGGCCCGATCGAACACGTGGGCTCCGAGTCCCACCCAAACATGCACTCGCAGGCCGAGTGGCAGCAAATCCCGTGTAGCCCACAGCCTGCCGGGCACGAGTTCTCGCCGCGGCACACGCCGTCGACGCCAGAGCACACGTCATTGATTGTGCAGTCTTGCTGGTCGTCGCAGCTCGTGCCCGCAGGCGCCGGATCGTTGTGGCACACCTCGTCACTGCCACAGGTGTCGATCGTGCAAGCGCGTCCGTCGTCACACTGCGCGTCAGTGAGGCAGCAGAACGGTTGCGTGATACAGCTACCGGCGCCGTTGCACATCCCATTGCACGATGCTGTCGCGCATGGCGTCGATGATGACTCAAATTGGCACGTCGCCGAGCAACAGTCGCCGTTGACCGTGTTGCCGTCATCACACTGCTCGCCTGGCTCGACCACGCCGTCGCCGCAGGTGAAAACGCACCCGGCCGGATTGCTTCCCACGCACGAGTTCGGCCCGGTGCCATCGCAGGTGTCGCTTGTGCCATCACAGGCTGCGCCGTTGTTACAAGGCGTTCCACTTGGGAGGAAGGTGTCAGGGGGACAGTCGTCAGAGCTCGACGAACAGACCTCTGGCTGATCGCAAAGGCTTCCCGCAGCTGGGCGGCAGATCTCACCGGCACGCCGTGCGTTGGCGGGGCAGAGCGGCGACGAACCGGTGCACGACTCGGCCACGTCGCAAACGCCTGCGGCAAATCGGCACACCGTGGCCGAGCTGACAAAGTTGTCGGCCGGGCAGCTCGCCGACGTACCGGTGCAGGTCTCGGCGACGTCGCACACACCCGCCACTTCCCGGCACACTATGCCAGTGGACACCAACACATCGCCCGGGCACGTCGGCGTCGTGCCGTCGCAGGTCTCGGCCACATCACACGGACCGGCAGCCGCCCGACACACCGTGCCGAGACTCTCGATCTGGCAACTCGACGAGCAGCAGTCACCCGAGACAAGATTGCCATCGTCGCACTGCTCACCGACCTCGACCACTCCATTGCCGCATGCACAGATCGACGGGCCAGAGCAGATCCCGGCACCATTACAGGAATCGGGGCTCGAGCACACGTCACCATCGTCGCACGACGTACCTGACGCCGCAAAGCTGTTGGCGGGGCAGGGCGCCGATGAGCCCGTGCAGGTCTCGGCCAGGTCACACACGCCCGTGGAGGCGCGGCAGACGACCGAGGTCGGCTGGAAGCTGTCCGCCGGGCAGCTTGCCGACGAGCCGGTGCAGGTCTCGGCCACATCACACACGCCCGCCGAAGCGCGGCAGACGTACACCGTCGACCGGAAGCCGTTGGCCGGGCAGCTTGTGGAAGCGCCGTTGCAGGTCTCGGCCACGTCGCATGGGCCGGTCGATGCGCGGCAGGTCGTGCCCGCCGTCGCCACAGCGTTGGCCGGGCAGCCAGCCGACGAGCCGGTGCAGGTCTCGGCCACATCGCAAACGCCGACCGCCGACCGGCAGGTGTACGACGACGGCCGGAACTGGCAGGTCGAGGTGCAGCAGGCCTGTGATGGCGGATCGCACTGTTCGCCAGCCTCGACGATCGAGTTGCCGCACACCGAGCCGGAGCCTGAGGCCGGGCCCGAGTACAAGATCTCGTATTCGCCGAGCGAGCCGTAGTCTGTGTATCCGGCTCCAGTTGCGGAGCCCTTGCCGACGCCGTCGACACGGAGGTGGTAGGTAGTGCCGGCGACGCCCGAGTAGGTGACGATGGCCTTGACATCGGCCGACGGGTTGACAGTCGAAACGAGCGAAGAGTCGGCATACAGCCGGGCCTCGATGTCGAGATTGTAGTAGTTGGTAGAGGTCGGCTGGATGGTAAAGGTCATTGAACCGGAGGCACCCAGCGTGATGGTAAAATAGTCGACATCAGCGCGGGTCGAGATGTAGCCCGCACCAGCCGGCGTAGCGCCGTCGGTGAGTGTGGTAGCAAGCGCCAAGGTATCGCCGTGGTCATCGGCGCGGAAGCCGAAGCCGTTTGAGGAGCCACCAACGATGGCCAGATCGTCCTGCTGCTCGTTGGCGTCGGCGTACTCACCACGAGACCACTGAATGAGGTCCTGGTAGTAGCCGACACCCATGATCGGGCCCCAGCCGGTGATGCCCGAGCCGTGGCCGGTGTAGTAGCCGACCGACGAGGTGCCATCGTGGGAGAGGCCCATGTTGTGGCCGACCTCGTGCGAGCCGGCCTCGCCGCACGACTTGGAGCTGCCGCCCGAGAGCCGCTTGGTGAAGACCCACGACGGCTGGAGATTGTTGGAAGGGCGCGAGAAGACGCCAACGTAGGCAACGCCGCCAGCATTGGGATACCACGCGTCAGTGATGGTGAAGACGCAGCGGACACGGCGTGATTCCGACACAGCGTTGTAGACCGACTCGATGGTGGTGACAGTGATCTCGAACGGGGCGTAGTCCTCGGCCATGAGCTCCCAAATCTGAGAGATGCGCGTGAGCTCGGTGGTCGAGAACGAGTTGGTGTTGGAATCAATGTCGTACGGGCCAGCAACAATGTCGCCCCACGCCGAGCCGGACGCGTCGTGGCCGTCAAAGTCGAGGAAGATGACGTACGGCGAGCCCGGCTTTGAGTTGTGGCTGGGCGGATTGAGGACCCGAGTCGCAATGGTATCCTGGGCCGGGTCGTAGTCGCTGTCACCGGCCGAAGGAGGAATGGCGTCCTGGCGACAGATGTGCTCGTCGATGTGGATGCGCCGAAGTAGAACGTGGCCGTCGCCGGCCTCGGCATTCGTCTCCCATCGGAACGCAGTGTCGTGATCAAAGAGCGAGACCTCGCCCGAGACGTGCTCGCCAGAGTGGGAGACATGAAGAGTGAACCGCCCGCCAGCGGCAAAGTGCGACGGTGAGCCGGCGAGCCGGTCCTCGGCAGACAGCGGCGTGTCTGGCGAGTCGACAACCCGACCGATGATCATCAGCTCTGCGCCGTCGTCCGAGTGGCTGACCGAGACCACGCGGCCGTAGATCGGGCCGAGGTCGGGCACCATGTCCGCCGAGAGCACTTTGAGCACAGGGATCTCGTGGAGAAGCAGATTGGTGTTCCGCAGATGCGGGTGCAGGTGGGCAGCATGAACAGTGCGCGCCATGCTGGCAGCAAACCGGCCTTGGACCGGATGCTCATGGTGCGGCGAGGAGACATCGTGATGGGTCACAAGCACAGCAGAGGAGAACAGCGAGAGCGGAGCAGCTAAGTGATCAGACGAGGCCGATGTCTTCGGGAGCAGGACCAGGGAGATCAGAGCAACCAGAATGAGGATCCAACGAGACATAATGGTTAACCTGTGGCATTGCATGTTAAAGGTGGAGGCAATGGATGGCGATGATGATGATGGTTGCTGGTGGTGGAGGCGGCAGCGGTGGTGGAGCTGTGAGTGCGGGTAGGGGGGGGGGGCAAGAAGCATATTGGCCTATTTGGGCAACAGGCGCACGGATGATGGACACCGGTGGACGGCAGGATGGGGGTTAGGGAGAGCAACTACATACTCTGGTATATATCCCCTCCCTCTAGAGTGTGATTGTGCCTGTCTTGCAATGTCCAATGTGTGGACAGGAAAGGAGTGAGTGGAATGTCTCCTGCTCTCCTGCTATGTGTCGTGGTCGTGCTTGTCGCTTATGTGGCATTGTCGAACACTCTCGGTTGACGGCCGAGCGGCTCGACGGCTTGAGATTTCCTCGCATTTACTGTGCCGGCCATCTTTGCCAGCACATCGTGCCAATTGGCACGGGCCTCACGTGTACATGAGCGCCTGTCGCTAGCTCGCGTACACGCGATATCAAGGTGAGAATTGGGCGTCGAACTGTTCCGCGCACTGCTGACTGTGGCTCGCGACATGGTGAGCAACAATGGTCAACACATCTGCTTCTACTGTCAACACCATCACTACTTTATCTTATCGCCACGATGCTGTGGTATCGCCATCGCCATGGCCATGGCCATGGCCATCATCGCCATTGTCATCGCCATCCCTACCACCACTACCGTTGTGGCACCACCACCACCGCCACCACCACCACCACCATCACCATCATCGCCATCATCATCATCATTGCCAGCACTACCTTATCATGCCCACTGCCAGCAATGGCTGTTGCGGTGCGGAACACGGCGCGCGCGCGCTGCCGAGCCAAGTCGTTGACAACCTTCATGGGCAGAGTGACCACCCACCACCGACACACGTCTCTTCACGGTCATGGAGTGGGAGACGTTAGAGCGACTGGAGCCCCCGCGGCCGAGAGTGTTCGAGTACACCGAGGTGTTGCCACAGCTGCAGCAGGAGGCCAAGGGCGAGTGCGTCCGCTGTGTGCGGCGGGAGCAGGTGGCCGACGCTCGCCAGACGGAAGACTGCTCCGCGGACGATGTGGCCGGGAGGGTTCAGGCTGTGCTGGCATCTGGTGGCGCGGCAAGCTCGGAGAGCTACCGCTGGGAACTGGCGTTTCGGACTGCAGTGACTGAGGTTAGCGAGAGCAGGCCACACATCAAGCGAGCTGAGGGCGCGTTTGCACTGCTGGATCAGCTCGCCAGGGAACTCCGCCCGGCGCTGGCTAACGCGCTCAAGGCCATCAAGGACGAGCTGGAGGCCTCGGTCTACTCGGACGACTTTACCTCGACTGGCATTCGCCCGTACTACACTAAGATCCCGTACTTTGGCTTGTGTAAGCGTATGAACGTGGAGCGACTCTCGCATGAGCTTGTTCTTCACAGTGAGCGCGATGAGCTCGAGTCTGCGTTGCTGCGCAAGAGCGATGAAGTCGAAGAGCTGCGTCAACTGTTTTTGGCGACCAAACGCGAACTCGGCGATGTTCGCTCGAGGTTGGAGGCAGCCGAGGGCGAGCTGGACAAGGCCCAGGCTAAGCTGGGCATCGCCCACGACGATCTGGACGACGCCCGTAACGCGCTGGCTGTACTCCGTGGAGAGTACGAGGATGCACTTGAGATACTGCGAGACGAGCTGCGGGCGGAGAGAAGTCGGGCAGCGCAGCTGCGTGGGTATAAGCAGCTGCTGGAAGACTTTGGCGTTGCGTCTTCGCTTACCGTATCCAAAGACGCCGAGCTACCTGCACCTGTGGCGGTGCAGTTGGCTCCTCCACCTCCGCTTCCGACTCGGTTTGTGCCAGAAAGACTAGCGAGCGAGAACGGGTCGGACGACGAGATTATTCCCAACCTTAACGCCGGTGAGCTGTCGCCAGAGACCATGTCCGAAGTCACACGGCAAGCCAAGATCAAGGAGCAGCTGGCGGCTCTGACCGGTATTTCCAGCGAGAGCTACGGGACGCGCAACCAGGCCAAGTTCAACCGGTGGTCGCTGTTGATGGCTCAGGCCGACCAAGCCAAACGGCTGCTCAAGCAACTCTCAGTCCTTCGCATGGCGCAGCTGGCCGAGTACGAGGCAGCGACAGGCCAACTCGATGCGCAGCTGGCTGGCGCGGGCGTCGCGTCGAGGAATATCGACTACCACGGGCCGAGCCACGACGAGCTGGTTGCAGCCAAGGCCGCGCGATACTCGACGTTTGTTCGCGAGATGGCTGCACTGGAGACGGAGATCAAGCAACTGGAGAGCCACCTGGAACACCTGGATCTCGCAATGGCCCGCAATCCACTCGCAATTGCCGCAAAGGCGGCTCGTCATTGGCGCAAGTGGGCTCGTGTGCGCGCGACCGAGCGATCCAGCCTTGGCTCGGACCCCTCGCTCAACACCTCGTATGGCGAGAGCCGGAGCTTGTCGCGGCGAAATGTGTCGGTACGGCAGAGCTCGGATGGCTCGGGCGACGACCGCCTGTCACACGTCCGCGAGGCAGAGCGGGGAGGAGCGTATCCATCACGGTATGCCATCGCCGGTTTTGTTCAACTGACCGCGGCGCGAGCTGGACGCCACTTGCGTCGACTCGTAGCTGCGAGTTCTGCGGCGGGGCTGTTGTCCTAGTCTGTCCACATCGCCTCTTCCAGCCGTCCACCTTGGTGCTGCCGCCAAATGCGACTCACATCAAGTTGTCACGACCAGAGCTCCGAATGGCACGGCGCGGGCTTGGACTGAGCCGCGATCACAAGCCCGACATGGAGAAGCTGGTCAAGACGTCGCGGCATAGCGAGCTCTGGCGCGGGCTTGCGGCACGGTCGCTCTCGCCGCCGACTCATGCGCGTCCGTACACGTTGGAGGGCCTACTGAGGGTTATTCACGATGTGCGGAGGCACCACACGGCCGAGGTGCCGGGCATGTACGTGGTCAACGACGAGACCGGCGATTGGATGCTGCAGCTACCGTCACGGTCGCATGCAACGAGCTCGGGCCTTGTTGACGGAGCATACACGCTACAAGACGAGTTCTTTGACGTACTCCAGGCGGCCTACGGGCTTGACGACGTTGTTGCCTTTGTGGCGTTCTCAGTTGTCAGCGCTGTGGACGCCATGTGGGAGGCTGAGGCCGAGATCGGGTTCTTTGGGCGGGCGCTGACTGCTGAGCTCCCCCTCGCAGCCTGGTCGCACGCCGAGCTTGTCTCACAGCTTGTGGAGCGGGTAGCAGGCACTGTGCCAGCGCTGGGTACATCGGCGGTTGCTGCGGCGCACTTTCTGTATCCAGACACGCCTGCGACGGCACTGCAGGATGCAACAACGTCATTGCGGATGGCGGGCGTATCGCTCGATGCCGACGGCCTGCGCGCGTTTGTGCGTAACGAACTAGTTCGTGGCTCCGAGATCCGCTACATGTCCATGCTCGATGCCGTCCGCCGGTATGATCTGCTCAACCATGGTTGGCTGACAGAGGCCGAGTTTCTCGACTGCATGGAGGTGAGTCTCAAGACCAACACGCTCTCTCGCCTTGGCCGGGTCTACTTTGCATCGGCACTGGCGAGCCAGAAGACAGTTTCGGCGGAAAGTGGCGATGGCGCAGTCGCGGGAGCGACCGCAGGTGGCGAGACACTCCGTCTCCCAAACCCACAGGCCGCCCACATCCTAGGCTACCTCTCGCTTGTGGCAGCGGCGCGCCAAGGCAAGTTTGACGCCGAGACCGCTGTGGCCCGTCTCCGGCCGATCAGTCTCCCTTCTGCCAACGCCAGCGAGGACAAGGCCGAGGTCGAGAGTCGCAAGTCGAGCGATGACGAGAGTACATGAGATATCTGCTTGCGTGGTGGTGGTGGTGGTGGGTGGGGGGGGGGGGGGTGCGGGAGTGCGGAAGGATCATAATTTTTAGTCAACGCTCATTCCCGGAAAGGAGAACGCGTGCGGTGGAGCCAAATGTCAGCACCCGCACCCGCGACAGCGGCTCGTTACGGCCCCGGTGCAGCCGACGGGCAACACCTCGCTCGAGGACTCATAGGACAGGCATCTGACGGCCTCGTGTGCACCACCACCACCAAAAGTACAACTGCTCATTTGTGAGGGGAGGGGAGTTAATAACTTTCTGCCTCGAGCAAAGCGGCAGCAGAGTCACCAGCCGAGGCGTGTGTGGCAGAGAACCGGCGCGCGTGGGGGGCGGTGGTTGTTGTAGCTCACTTTGGACCTTTGCCTGCAAAGGAGAGTGGCACAGCGTTGTTAGCTGGTATTGGAGTGTCCAGGTCAAACCGGAGCGGAGAGGAGTTCTTCAGAAGGGAAGGGAAGAGAAGGGCAAGAGGCGTACGAGGGGACAACGTGCTACGTAGGTACCCCAAAGGGGCCAAGGGCAAGGAAGTTCTCATTCGGGTCCTTGAGAGAAGGCAAAGTGTGTGAGGTTATTAGGAAGGGGACTTTTGCAACACCTTGTGGTCGTCATGGGCTGTGCTTCCTCAAGAAGGGGCAAGTCCTCGAATCAAGTACGACCTGAAGGCTTTGTTACACGACCGGTGGGTGGCGGAGGTGGAAGCGCGGGGAACATGCAGCGGAACGGGACAGGGCTGAGTGGTGGATCGAGTGGCTTCCCCGCTGATGGGGCGTGCTCGGTCGGAGCGCCGCAGAGCTGGCAAAAGGGCTCGTTGCTAGGTCAGGGTGGCTACGGCAAGGTGTACATGGCGCTCAACTCGGAGACGGGCGAGCTGCTGGCGGTCAAGGAGGTGACGCTTGAGGCCTCGTCGGTGCTCTCGGGCGGCTCGTCGGCTGCGCTCGCGTCACATGTGGTGTCTTTGGAGCACGAGATCGATATGCTTTCGCGGCTGACGCATCCCAACATTGTGCGATACCGAGGAACATCGCGCGATGAGGCTGCGCTGTACATTTTCCTCGAGTACATGCCGTGCGGCTCGATTGCGTCGCTGCTCTCCAAGTTTGGACCGCTCTCGGAAGGCGTCATCTCCAAGTACAGTCGGCAGATCCTGATGGGCCTCGACTATCTCCATCGCAATTCGGTTGTCCACCGCGACATCAAGGGCTCGAACTTGCTGCTCAACACGGACGGGGCGGTCAAGTTGGCGGACTTTGGCGCGTCCAAGACAATGTCCAAGCTCACGACGCGCAAGGCCGGGCGGCGGCGCGGCGACGATCCGACGGGCCGGACGGCGCAACTCCTGATGGGCACGCCGCAGTACATGGCACCCGAGGCGATTGCGTCGCCGGAGGCTTTTTCACCCAAGACAGATGTTTGGGCGCTTGGGTGCACGGTGATCGAGATGCTTACGGCGCGGCTCCCATGGGCCGACGCCGGCAACAACGCAGTGGCCACCATGTATGCGGTGGCGGATACTAAGACGCATCCACCATATCCAAGCTCTGTCTCGCCGCTGGTGAATTCGTTCCTCCGGCGGTGCTTTGCCATCAAGCCATCGTCGCGGGACACTGCGGCGGAACTGCTAGTGCACATGTTTATTACGACGGCGCCGTCGGCGCTGTCTGCGGTTCCGCTCGCAGATCTGAGGCCGGGTCTCGGGACCGACCTTAGCTTTGATGTGCGGAGCGGTGCGTCCGACGCTGGTTCGACGGGCGAGTTCTCGCACGTCTCGGTTCCTGGGCTCTCGGCCACATTCGTGGCGTCTGGGCAGTCGTCGCCGATGGAGGCGCTTGTCCCGCGTCGGTCGTCGGGCGCGTCGGCCAACCGTGCGGTGATGAGGTTGCGGTCACCGTCGGCGACGCGGCGGTCGCTGGACATTTCGCCACGTTCGCGGTTTCCGCCTGGGCAGAGCCCGTCGGGATCGACGACGACGACGACGTCGGTGCACGGGCGGGCCGAGTCTGTTGTCTCGGCGTGCGAGGACGGGATGGACGTGCTGACTGCGGTCACGTCATCGCCGTCGCTCTCGACTCTTGGGGCGCGTGCGGCGCAGCAGCGGCGTGGTGACTCGCGTGAATCGGGCGACGCCGGCATGCTCAAGGGTACGCAGTCGTTTTACACACCACGGGCCGGTGGAGCCGCGCTTGCCAACGTCCCGCACCCGCCGGCGTCGCGGACGTCGCGGCGGGCCATGTCGCCGCCGGCGTCTGCAGTTGTCGAGTACGTGTACTCGCCGCCGCAGCCTGCGTCGCCCAAGAGCGGGCGGTCGGACTCGCGGGTCTTCCGCTACAATGGCGGCGCCTCGCACGAGAGCGAGGACGACACCGAGCCGATTTCGCCGCTCTCACGCGCGTTTTCGCCGGCGGAATCGCGGCGGAACCGCAACTCCTCAGTCTCGCGCTATTCGCCGACGACGCCCGGCACATCGCAGCCGGTGACGCCGGTGGTGGCGCGGACGCCGGTCTCGCCGCACATTCCGTCGCGGTCGTCGCAGCGGTCTTCGCAGCAGACTGTGTCGAACAACTCGATAGGGCACCGGCACTCGCCGCATCCTCGGTCACCACACACACCGCACTTTTCGCCGCCGTTCAAGCAGCTGACTATCGACGTCAAGGCCGACGAGGCCGCGCTCCCGCGGGCAGTTCTCGTCTCGGACGAGTTCGAAGGCGGCGGCGGGCGCGGCATTCTGTCGCGAATCGCATCGCCGCGATCGGGCGCGACGACGCCCAATGGCTCGATCCGCAAGAGGCGCACGCTCTCCATCTCAATCCAGAACGCGTCGATCGCTATGTCGCCGCAGCAAGACGACTCGCCGTCTGACCACGTCCGCTCGCAATCCCACGACGTAACGTAACAGGAAGGTCACAGACGTTGCACCGGCTCTGGCTGCCTCCAGGTGAGCCACGCGTCGAGTCGGCGCCAAACAAGGCCGAGCGTGGCTGCGAGAACAACCGAGGCTAGAACTAGCGAGCGAACAGCGTGCGCCTCGGAAATGAGGCCCGAGCCTGTTGACCACCCGCCGCCTAGCCACACGCCACTGACCAAGAGCGTGGCGTGGGCGGCCGCGTAAACGAGGCTCGCCGGCATCGCCCCATACGCTGCAAGCATCACACTCCAGCCGAGGGTCATGGCGAGCAGCGCAGCAGTGGCGACGGTAGCCTGGCCGGCCAGCTCAGCAAGCGGCGCCAGCGGGAGCGAGATCGCGCCAGTGAGGACGGTCGCCACGCCGACTACCGCCCCGCCGCAGCCAACAGCGGCAGCAGCGAGAGACGAGTACGGTGCGGTCGACGAGGCGACGCGCGGGAGCGACGAGAGCCACACAAGACGAGCGCACATGGCCAGCAGGAGAAGCATACTGCCGAGCGATGTTATGACGGCAGCGCGGAGCGCATCGGCCTTGGCCGCCACCAATGCGGCGGCGACTAAGGCAGCCAGCGCTGCGCCGCCGGATGGAGTGGCGATGAACGCCAAAGACCGCGCGTCCGACGGTGTTGGCTGCGGTGGGAGCTGTGCAGTGGCGACAAGCATGACGTCCACCAGAGCCGGCGCAGATGCCGCCACCCAGACCAGCCACAGCAGCGGGAGCAGGACGGCAGCCACGATCCAGGGCAGGAGCGAGAGGTGGAGGCGGGCGAGAAGCGATGCAGCCAGGGCGATGGCCGAGGCCACAGCTGGCACCAGACCTGTGCTTGCCACTAAATCTGGAAGCTCTCGAAGCGGAAGAGGTTGCGCAGCTACGGCCAGCACGCCGCCAGCCAGCATCATGGCCAGTGCCAGTCCCGGGAGGGCCGGCAGCAAAGGCGTCACCGACCAGTTGGTATGGTCAGGAATGAGGGCGCTGAGGAGAAAGAGCTCGCCGCCAGCTGTGGCCAACCCACCCAGGCACAGCACCAGCCAGTGTGGTAGTGTAGCACTGAGTTGGTTGCTGAGTCGGATTCGCCTGGCGCCGAGCATGGCAGTGTGACTGACCTGGGCGTGGCTTGGCGTTGAGTGCAAGGTCACTTGTTGGCGCTGTGGGGGGTTTGGGGTTTGGGAGGGTGTGGGGGTGTGGGGGGGAAGGCAGGTGTGCCATACCCTGAACAAGTGAACAAGTTACGATCGCAGGTGCAGATTGTATGTGTGTGTGTGTATGTGTATGTGTGTGGTGGGCTTGTGGTCCTTGATCGTGGGATTGGGTTGCCTGAGAAGTCTGTGGATGGGATCGAGTGTGTACGTCTGTGTTGCGATGGCTCGAATCCAGTTGTGCTGCGGCCATGCTGTAGTGATAGCCATCGCAGGTGCTGATTGTATGTGTGTGTGTGTGATCGGATCTGGAGGAGGTCTGGACAGCCTGTGATACGACTGGCGGGAGCGATTGAAGCACCGAGGAACACGAATCATGGCGAGAGGGCTGAGGGGGGGGGGGGGGGGGGGCGTGGGATGTGGCAGGAGCGAAGGAGCCCAGCCCCGATGACCCAAAGTGGGTACGCACCACACTCCAGTCCGAGGTAGATAGAGATCCACCGGGTCTACTCTGTGGCCAGCGGACTGTGGTGTGGCTTGGCTAGGCGAGGACTGGTTGGCGCGTACCCTACCCCCTCCCCTCTCTACCACCGCACTGCTACCACCTTCACCTTCTGCGCCACCCAGTCGATAAGGCAGGGAACATGGCAAGGCGTAGCGGCAGAAGGTCAGGCAAGGGCAAGGACAAGGGAAAGAATAAGAGCAAGGGCAAGAGCAAGCGGTCAGGCAAGGGCAAGAGCAAGCAGTCAGGCAAGGGCAAGAGCAAGCGGTCAGGCAAGGGCAAGAGCAAGCGGTCAGGCAAGGCGCGGAAGCGGGGAATGGGCGGTGGGGATGGCTCGGATTCGGTCATTGAAGGCTTTGTGGAACAGGAGCAGATGATGCTGTCCAAGATCGAGTCGATGGAAAGCCAGTTGAAGGCCATGGAGAAGCGGATCAAGCGAGCTGAGGGTGGTATCGACCCGGACACGCAGCTTTACCTCGAGACAAAGCTCAAGAAGGCGCTAGAGCAGGAGGAAGCGCTTGAATTGCGGGTCGAGGCCCTAGCCCAGCGCATCGATCATCTCGACGATGGCTCGCTCCGCCGGAAGCGCAACTCCAGGAGCAGCAAGGGCAAGACCAAGGCCAAGGCCAAGACCAAAGGCAAGACCAAGCTGCGGAAGCGGTGATACCCCACTCGATCTTCATCGAGAGGTCGTCATCCAGTGAAACGCCAGCCGAATGTCTGAAAGTAACCCATGTCCACGACTTTGCAAGACGCGCGGCCATGACGCCATCATCATGACCTCCTACGAGACCCACTGCCGACCTGCCGCATCGAGCCGCAGCCCAGGCTACGCCGGTTTCCAGCATCTACTCTAGCACCGGAATTTACGTAGCAACAGGTACTACCTTGCGCGAGGTCGGCGATCTCCCTCTGGGCAGGGTGTGGGCCAAAGGCGGCCGGTCGTCTGATTGCTCATGATTGTTCCAATTAATCGATGCAATCGCGATGACGCCACCTCCACCATTAAAACTATGAGCTCGCCGGGCAACAGCCTTCCCCACCCAGCCGGCCACACTTCACCCTTCTCACTATCATGTCCACCGGTTCTGTCCACCACGTTACCTCGTCTGATGAGTTTGACAACTTTATCAAGGAGCATGCCGGCCTTGTACGTACCCCACAGCTACCTCTTTCCCCCTACCTCTCCCGTTGCGCAAAGGCCTTGCGACCGGCGGAACATGCGGCCTTTCTCTCGTGTCGCCTCCCACTTGTATCCTCCTTCCTCAGTCCCTCCTCCCAACCCATCACGCTCTACTCACCCTCTCTACCCATGCACCCACTACTACAGGTTGTCGTCGACTTTTCCGCCACCTGGTGCGGTCCGTGCCGCATGTACGCCTCCTCCAGTGCCTTTGCCACCATGGGCGACCTCGCCCCATTTTTCGTCCTGATCAACCCCTGATCGCCCCACTGATGACGATCAATATTCCCCCCCCCCCCCCCCTTGCCCCTCTCCCCCACCCGCCCCCATCCATACTCACGCTCCCCCTCCACCTCCACAGGATCGGCCCCAAGTACGAGGCTGCTGCCGCTTCTGACGACTACAGCTCGGTCCTCTTCCTCAAGGTCGACGTCGATGAGCTCGACGATGTTGCCGGCCGCTGCGGTGTCCGTGCCATGCCGACCTTCCAGTTCTACAAGGGCGGCGAGATGGTTGGCGAGTTCTCGGGCGCTGCCGAGGCCAAGCTCCACGAGAACCTCAAGAAGCACATGTGAGGAATCGACCCCTTAAACTTCTCCTCCTCCCCCCCTCCACCTTCGTACTGTAGCCGTCTTTACCTGCTTCCAGCATCTAGCGCGCAGCAGTGCGCGACCGCCGGGGCGACATGGCCTGGGACCTGTCCAGCGCAGAGTCGATCTGGGCCTGGGCACGGAGGAGCTTTTCAAGAAGCTCGTTCTCAGTCTCGAGCAGCTCCGGATCCACAAAGCTGGCATTCGACTGGAGTTGTGAGACGTCAGCTGACGCGGCGCGCGCGGCCTGCAGCTGCGCACGCAGGCTCGCGTTGATGCCTTCCAAGTGCTCGACGTCGTCCTCGAGGCCGGCAATGGTCTCGCGGGCGGCTTCCAGCTCCGCCGTCGCGTTTGCAGCGGCGTCTTCAAGCGCGGCCATGTCTGCGGCGGAGGCGGGCGCTGCCGCTGTACTCGGCTCGCCAGGCGATGCTGGCAAGCTGTCGAGTGTGTTGGGGACGGAGATGTGCATGCGGAGCGCGTCGTTGAGAAGCTGGGCAACCCGCGCCTGAACAGCCTCCTCCAGCTCATCGGTGTCTGCGTTGCGCAGCGCGTCGCGGGCAATAGCCGTCTCCAGCAGCTTGCGCTGCGCGTCGCGGAGCGCCGAGTTGAGCGACGTCCGTCCGGAATCAGCAGCCAGCTCAGCCTCCAGCTCGGCAACCCGCCCCTCGAGTGCCACAATTCGCCGCTCGTACATAGCTGCATCGTCTTTGGCCAGCTCGTCACGCTCCTTGGCCAGCGCAAAGAACTTCATCTTGATCGCGCTCTCAGCCTCAAGCCGTTGCGCCATCTCCGACTCGCCCACGGCGCCCGATGCAAAAACAGGATCGCGGGCCTGCGCCAAGAGTTCCAAGCTTGCCTCATGCCGTCGCTCTTCCAAGTCTAGCCGCTTCCGCAGTGATGCCAGCTCGTCGGCCGCATCATCGCCGCTTCCGCCGCGTCCCGCCCCGGCGCCCTCACCTCCACTCCGCCGCGCCGCTGCACTCTGCGCCCGCGCAATCTCCGCCCTCGCTGCAGCCAACTTGGCTTCGAGCTCAGTAACTCGAGCGTGCAGCCGCCGGGCCTCACGCTCTCCGCCCCCACCGTCTGCGCCCCACGACCACGAGAACAAGCCCGAGCCGTGTTCTGTCCCCCCCACCACCGAGCACCACCGCCGTCAGCCCCAACGCGACCCACCAAAACAAACAACAGCAGTGAGTACCATATCTCCCCCCCTCTCTCCCCCCCCCTCCCCTGCTTCCTCCAAACATCACACATACCAGAGTTCCGCAGCGCCTCGACCTCGCGGCGCAGGTCATGGTTTGACTCACGTTCGGCAGCAAGAGCCGCCTCTGCCACCTCGAGCTGCTTGCGATGCTGGTCAAGCATCGATCGGTAGACTTTGAGCTCGGCAGCAAGAGCATCTCGGTCGTCTGTCGCACCACTCCCGCCGCTGAACGATGACATGAGGTCCATCAACGTCAAGTGATACTCTCGCTCCTCCTCCTGCTCCCCAACATCGCCGTCGACTGGAAACCGCCGTTCGCGCCTCGTCCATCAGTTGGCGTGTGAATTGCGGGTCAACGGCTGGCGGCAGTTGCTTCCCACTTCCACTTTATCCAATTCTGACAGATAGGTCGAGCAACTGTTTTCGGCACCTTGCTGCGTATTAACTGTGCTCGCCAATTCGCTAGCTCGTGCAACAGAACGTTCACTCATGCGATGGTGCCTCTTCTCACCTCTATTGCCTCATATCGCAGTTTCTCATCCACAACTCTGATCCTGAACCGGCGATCGTGTCAATGGCCCTGGCTCGATCTCAAATGGTTCTGCCAAGCCTTGCCAACCCACATGTTGCATCGAGTCATAAATCTGAATATTTCCTCCCTTCATGTCAAGCGGAGCTTCGACCACTCATCAACTTCACCCTTATGTTGCCCATACGTCAACAGCCTCTACCTACTCGCATCTGGCTCCCTCTCTCCTCGCTGTCTTCTGTCCAACAACCGCCCACACCACAAACGATCACCCGTCTCGAGGCAAGTCTTGCGCGAGTTTTACCGACAGTTGGCGCAAACGTTTTCGGGCGTTGACCGGTCGGAGTCGGTTTGCAGTCGAATTGTGCCGCCTCTCCCCACCTACCCACTCTCTCCGCCTTTCCCTTCCGACCTACCAGTCCTCCCCCCTCCTCCTCCCCCCTCCCTCCTCCCCCCTCCCCCCCCCCCTCTCACTACATTCACCAACCTTACATTGACCATCTAGCGGTTGCTTGTCTCGTGCCTCGCCCTTGCCCCGTCCCCGTCTGTTTGTCTGTCTGTTCCCTCTTTTGGGAGAAGGTGTGACCAGGAACCAACCCAATCAGGAGCAGTCGCTCTCGATCAAGAGCACACCACGAACAGCCGCTATCCCTGCTACTGGTGCGGTTGCTAACCAATTTTCATATACTGCTGCACTCGCTAGTTGGAATGTCGATGGCAGAAGCTGGGGCCCTGGTTGCTGAGCCTGCTGTGGCGGTAGAACGTGCCAGGACAAAGTCCGGGAGCTCATCAGCCGACGATGACATGGACCTCAACGTCTTGGTGCGGAGCCAAGAGCCGGAGCCGGTCCCTTCACGGGAGCTGGCAAGAGGCAACGTCTCGTCAGAACGAACTGGGCCTGGTGGCGCAGCCTCGCCTGTTGCGAGCATGTCGGACGATGAGCTTGCGCCCTCACCTGGCGTCGCGTCGCCACCGCTCTCGGAAGAGGCGCTGTTCTCAAACGCGGCCACGCCCACACCCTCAGAGCCAGGCGACTTGGACGAGAATGACAACCTTCGTACTGATGCTGCGGGCTTGACTGTCACGCGTCGTCGCTCTGGAACCGATTCCTTGGCTGTTGCCGTGTCTGTCGTGTGCTCTGACGCCCTCGCAGGCCCCCCACCGCTGGAGTCCTCACCCTGTCGATGCCTTCTGACACGGCCGACGTGTACCTGTGGGCTCTCATCGAGCACAGCCACTCTATCCAGATTCGGCAACTCTTCGGCCACCATGGGCTCATCGATTGACACCGTGTTTGTAGCCTCGGGTGCGCTCGACACGCTCGATGCCGATTCGAACGGGCCATCACCATCTTGTAGGAGCTCAAGTAGCGACGCATTTTCATCGTCGTCACGGACTGCATCGCCAACATGCGGGCGTTCATCTGCCTCGTCGACGCGGATTGTGAGCTCGACCGAGTCGGACTCGGGCTCGTTCACTGCCTCGTCCGGAAGCTTTGCTGCTTCTGATGACGACCGCCCGCCTGCCCACACCATCCTTGCCGCCTCGGGCCTGCCGCTCGGGTTTGAGGCCAAGTTTATGGAGCGGACCACCGGAATTCCGCTCTTCACCCTCGACGACTTGCTCAAGACCGGTGATGGACCCACGCCGTCCAAGCTCGCCTGGCGTGACCTTATCTCGCACCTGCTGCACTGGGGTCGGCTTGACCCCGCTGCGGCGCTCTTTCTCCTCACTTCGGCGCGCGCCGTCCTCGCCGATCTGCCCAACATCATCCAAGTCTCCGGCCCCACTGTGGTGGTCGGCGACGTGCACGGACAGCTATTTGACTTGCTCCTTGCCTTTGCGCTGGGCGGGCCGGTGACCAAGACCTCATACCTGTTCCTGGGCGACTACGTTGACCGTGGCGCCTTTTCTTCCGAAGTTTTGTTTATTCTCTGCGCCTTTGTCATCGAGTTTCCGCAAACCTTCCACCTTCTTCGAGGCAACCATGAGTGCCGGTTCATTTCGTCGACCCATGGCTTTCTCCACGAGCTCGAGTTCAAGTACTCTGACGCGAGCCGCGAGATCTTTGATGCCGCCAACAACATGTTTGATGCGCTCCCGCTTGCCGCCGTTTACACCTCACCCCACAAAGAGCGGCTGTTCTGCTGCCATGGTGGCATTTCGCCGGTCCTCATGACCCTCGACGACCTGGCCAACGTCGACCGCTTTGCGGAAGTGCCGCAATCGGGCCTTGTGACCGACTTGTTGTGGGCCGACCCCATGGAACGCGCCTCACTCTCGCCTAGCACCCGCACGCAGTGGAAGTCGCGCGAGTGGGATCCAAACTGCGATCGCGGCGTCTCGTACAAGTACGGGCCGACGGCCTTGGTCGACTTTCTCAACCTCAACAATTTCGTCGGCATCATTCGCGCCCATCAAGTTCAGGCCAATGGCTTCTCCGACCACGCTGACTTTTCCGACGTCAACCGCCTCGCCAACATCGACTCGGGCTGGCCGCTCATCATGACTGTCTTCTCTGCGCCCAACTACTGCGCCATGTATCAGAACCGTGCTGCCGTCCTCCGTCTCCTCTCCGAGCCCGATGCGTCCGGCAAGCTCTGGTCTGCCACTTGCTTTGACTCGCAGTCTCTGCCACACCTGGACCACGCTGCGTGCTGCTCCGGCCATGGCCTCAATCCCAACTCTTCGACCAAGTGCTCCCTCATCGCCGACACCTACTCGCCTCTTCACGGTTCGACATCCCCGCCGCCATCCGACGAGGTCAACCTGCGTGTCAACGTCAATTCTGACGTTGTTCGCTCGACTGAGACCAACTCATTGAGCACACCGGCCTTTACGCCAAATTCGCAGCTACTCTCGGCCCTTGTGTCGGACCCTGTCGGTGTTTTCCTCCCGTCGGGTGACTCGCCGCCTGCCGAGTCGGCCAACTCGCGAGCCAAAGACATGATCACCGAGGCTGCCGTGGTTGACGCCATCACACCGTCGCCTGAAGACGAGGAGGCCATCAAGGGTGTCCGCATGCTAGACGGTCTCTCGGAACAGTCGTCGCTCGACTCGTCGTTCCAGCTATCACTCCATTTCGTACCCATGTTTGACTTTTCCGGACAGCTCGCTGCCGCTCGTGTTTACCGGGCCGACAAGGACCGTGGCAAGCGCAAGCGCAAGCGAACCAAGCGCCGCCGTCGTGCCACTGATGGCGATGTAACCTCACTTGTCGGACCAGTATCCAAGCTAGAAACGGTTGCTTCCCTCTCCAGCTCGCTCGAATCCTCGCTCGTCGTCGTCAACGGCGCCCAGACGTCATCATGCATCCCATCTCTGACCTTTCCAGTCTCCTCAGCCTCAACCTCAACCTCAACCTCAACCGCGACGTCGCCGTCGGCCTCGTCGACGACCACCTCCTCCTCCTCGTCGTCGTCGACCCCGTCGTCGTCGAGAACTGTGACTGGAGGTCGGTCTTCAACGGGCCGTGAACGCCCGCCATTGTCGCCGGCTGCGGATGTTCGCGACACGCCGGCCTCATCGGACCAGCCCCACTCGGATACCTTGTGAAGCGCACGGCCCAGCCTTTGGCGCATTCTCCACAGAGTGGTCAGCTTTGCGGCCACAAGTGTGTGCAACGTCTCTGGCAAAGGTCCCACTCTACGCAGCGCACGGCACGCGCATAGTGGCGGCCGCAGGGGTTACTGCAAGACTTGGTACTGTGCTGTGTTGTTCACTTTGATGCGCGCGCGACAATGTGCCAAATCGACCGCACATTGGAGACTGTGGAGGGCTACATCACAATGCAGTTCTTCTTTCCGCTCCGTACCGGCCTCCGCGTCCCATCGTTGGCAATCCGCATGCGAACTCGCTCCCGCCGACGCCACTGCCAGTCGTCAGGCACCGCGCCGGTCTCCTTGGCTTCGGCGACCTGGCCCTCCCATGCATCCAGCTCGTCGAGGTAGTCTGCAGGCGGCCATTGGTGGGACCGGACCCACGCCAAGTTGTCCGGGCCAAGAGCGCCCGGCGTGATGTGCGGTGCGAGCGGAACAACGTTCGATGCCAGAAAGTGGAGGAGAAAGGCCGCAAGCTGGCTCGCACCCTGGGCTTGCGACGCGTGCAACAGAGCCACGACGTCGATGCCCGACTGGCCGACAGACGCTGTCGTCGCCCGCTCGAGGATCTTGGACCCGTACAGCTCAGTAAACTGCAAGAGCCGGAACAAGTTACAGTGCGCCGCCGCTGCCGCAATCGAGAACACATGCGACTCGCCATGGAGCACGGTCTCGACGGTGCACTCGGAGACGCTCTCGCAGTGTGCGGTGTAGACAAACTCGAGACACGCACCAAGATCGGCTGCACCGAGCCGGGCATCCTCCACCACTACCGATCCACCGCACGGCAGCTCGCGGACCAGCGAGTGGAGCCACGCGCACCGCGCCGCGAGCAGCGCCCGGTGAACCGGCACCCGCGCCTTGCCCACCTCGAGCCACGCATCCGCTCGGAGCGGACGGCCCAGGAACAATTCTTTGAGCCGCTCGCCCACAAGATCGTTCTTGTACGTCGTGATCGACGGGTTGAGCTCGTCGAGCGAGCCTGCCACGTTGTTGCAGCTTGTCAACAGGTGCTCAGCGCCAAACAGCTCGGCAGCAGCCCGGACCAGACCGAGTCGCTCCGAGCCGCGCGCACCCAGGTCGGTAGCGCCCGAGTAGAGGAACTCCAGCAGGGCGCCAAATCCGTCTGCGGTCACCTCGGCCGCGTCCAGGACTACCACAAGGCTCCATCCGAGCTCGTTGTTGGGCGGCGCTGCCAGCGACGAGCTCGCCTCACCGGCCGACTGGCTGCTGACCTCCTCGGGGCTCCCGTGCTCGGCATCGAGATGTGCCACCAGAGTCGACCTGGCCGCCACGTGCTCGCACCCATCCTCGGGACAATGAGCCTCTAGCTTGTCAACAAGGTTGCGGATGATGCGCGAGGCCGGCGCGACGGCGCTGGCGGCAACAGTTCCGCGGCAGGCCGGGCAGTTGGCGTGCTGGAAGAGCCAGTCCTTGAGGCATGTGGCACAAAAAATGTGCTCGCAGCCGGGTACAGCCACAGGCTCCAGAAACGGAAGCGTGCAGATGGAGCAAAGGAGCTCGTCGTCAATGTCCTCGTCGACGTACTCGAGCTCTGTAAGCCGAGCATCGACGCCAAGATCGAGGAGCGCGGCCGAGCTCGACGACGCTGCCCCGGCACCCCTGCCCCATCTAGCGCTGCCACCGACGCACCGGAGCCGTCAGGTGCCTCGACTCTGTAGAGGACGTTGTCGACTCGAGCAATCCACGACACCCCGCGTGGAAGCGCAATCCGCGCCACCTCATCGGCCTCGTTCGCCGAGAGCGCAGGGAGGAGGAGCCGGGCCAGCAGTGTCGACGCCGCGAGTACGATCGGCGAGTGGGCAAAGAATGAGGTCTCGGGTGCAGAGCCGAGAGACGGGACCACAAACCGGAGGTCGGCGTGGAGCGAGTTGTTGTACAGCGTGTGCAGATCGGCGCCAAAGGTCGCGGTCTCGATGTTGATCCATGGCGCGTGGAGGTCAACTACCTCGGGCAGTGCCGGCGGGGCAGGAATGCCAGCGTTGTGATCTTCGACCCCATCGTCCGAGTCGTACTCGTACTCGTAGTCATAGTCGGGCACAGCCGACGACGACGAGCCAGCACCCGAGCCCGAGGACTTGAAGAGCGAGAAGCGCGACTTCCTGCGCGAGCCTGCGCTGTTGATCACCGCCATGATTGCCGTGTCAAAGGCGGCCTTGAGCCCAGTGCCCACCAGCGCTGACGTCTCTGCATAGCTCACAGCACCGATACCATTGGCAAGTGCCTGAGCCTCGTCCCGAGAGACCAGCCGCTCGGCGTCAACGTCCCCCGCCCGCAAGTCCGCCTTTGTTCCGACCAGAATGATCGGGGTGTTGGGACAGTGGTGGAGGATCTCGGGCATCCACTTTGAGGAAACGTTCTGAAACGAGGCGCGCGAAACAACCGAGAAGCAAAGCATGAAAACGTCTGTCTGTGGATACGAGAGCGGACGGAGGCGATCGTAGTCCTCCTGTCCTGCCGTGTCCCACAGACCGAGGCTGATCGGCTTGCCGTCGACCATGACATTGGCCGAGTAGTTGTCAAAGACCGTCGGCACGTACTCGCCCGGAAACGCATTGGTCGTGTACGCAATGAGCATGCATGACTTGCCCACTGCCCCATCACCCACAACCACACACTTGATGGCCTGCATCCTGACTACAACGCTCGTCGAGCTCGAGTTGGCGTGATGAGTGCCGTTCTGCTACCACCAGTTGCCCATTGTCGTGTCATGTTTTATGGTGTTGGGGCACTCCCCCCAAATGGGGGCACCCCCCTCCCCCCCCTCCCCGCGCTGTCCTCTCTGCTGACCTAGAAGTGGGCCGCGAGGGGCAGGGATGATCTATCGCTTGATGTTGGAACGATGAGCGAGCTTTATCTGTACCATTATCACCATTGGCATGGGGTGTTGTGTGTGTGTGCGTGTGTGTGTGTGTGTGTGTGTGTGTGTGGCGGGGGAGGAGGGGAAGGGGGGGGTGAGGGGGCGCTTGTTGCGTGTTGTGTGCCCAGCTTGCTGCTGCCTGCATCCAGGGGTCGACGGCCTAGGCCAAAGCGTCTGATACGAGGAGCGATGACATAGACGGGTGCATAGACAGCCGATTGTGAGTTGTTTTACTCAATAGGGCCGATCTACTGCTGTAGCCTGGGCTTTGATGGGCCAACGTGGCCGAACGCTAGCTTCGTCATGTCCTGCTCAGAGCACGATGTACCGATACAGGGCCAGGATGGATTCTTCGATGGGAGGACATGCTGCTGACACGACTGAGGAGGAAAAAGGTCAGCTCCGAGGTTGACAACGCCCGGCTTCCGATGCGGTGACAATGAACACGTCGCAGCCGGATTGTCAATGAGCACCCGCGATTTCAACTTCCGCTCAAACTGAAAGTACGAGACAACGGCTGAGACCATTCTTGGTGGACGCCGCCATGACTTGCCGACGATCATGTGGACGAAGCCTGACGAGTTTCCCTCGTCCCGGCGATGAAGGGCATCGTGCTCGTGTCGTGCTCGCTGTCGGCAGCTATCGACTCAAATCAGCGACCATTGTCTCCTGGGTGCGGCTCGAGCTCCCGAGTGCACGACTCGCGCTCGTACTCGGACGGCTGGTTTGTGTGAAGCCAGCAGCTCATTCGACTCCAGGCATAGAGGAGGAGTCAATGGCTGTGGAGTATGTGAATGTGGTGGTTGTGGGCGACGACGGTGTGGGAAAGACATCGCTGCTGTTGACCTTCTTCTGTGGGCGTTTCCTGGACGAGTTGGGAGCGAGGTGGTGCCGACGGTGATGGAGAACGTGCAGATGCCTGTGACTGTGGACGGGAAATCGATGACCTTGACGCTGCGGGATACGGCAGGGGGCGATGACTTTGCTCGCATCCGGCCGTTGAGCTACCAGCGCGCAAGCGTAGCCCTTGTCTGCTTCTCTGTTGCCTCGCGATCGTCGTACGACCGCGTGAGCTCGGTGTGGGCGCCCGAGCTCGACGCACACTGCCCGAGCGTCCCGCGGCTTGTTGTCGGCCTCGCTACCGACGTCGGCGACGATCGGGTGGTGACAGCTGCTGAGGGCCGAGCGCTGAGCGAAGCCATCGGGGCGGCAGAATATGTCGAGGCATCGGCCAAGACCGGCGGCGTAGAGGCAGCCAGCGCGGTGCTGGACGCCGCGCTAGCGGTTGCGAGCGAGAGGAGGGCGGCGGCGGCAGCGGCAACATCAGCAACAAGAAGGTGTGCAGTGATGTGACGAGATACAAGTGGAGAGGCAGTTGCAAATGGTGTGTGTTACGATGAAGCAAAAACGTTAGTCCATGTGCTTGATGATGGCCGAGCCAAACTCGGAGCACTTGAGAAGGGTGGCGCCCTCGGTGAGGCGGTGGAAGTCGTAGGTGACCTGGCCGGTGGAGATGGCACCGTTCATGCCCTTGATGATGAGGTCGGCAGCCTCGTTCCAGCCGAGGTAGCGGAGCATCATCTCGCCGGAGAGGACAACAGAGCCGGGGTTGACCTTGTCGAGGCCGGCGTACTTGGGGGCGGTGCCGTGGGTGGCCTCGGCGATAAAGTGGCCGGTGGTGTAGTTGACGTTGGCGCCCGGGGCAATGCCGATGCCTCCGACGAGGGCCGCGGCCGAGTCGGAGAGGTAGTCACCGTTGAGGTTGAGGGTGGCGATGACGTCAAACTCCTTGGAGCGGGTGAGGATCTGCTGCAGGGCAATGTCAGCGATGGCATCCTTGACGATGACCTTGTTCTTCCACTGGGCGTTGCCGTGGGTGGCGCCGATGGCCTCGATGACACCGGCGACCTCGTTGCGGAGCGCCTCCTGCTGGGTGGAGGTCATGAGGTTGTATCCGGGCTCGATGGCGCGGGCGTTGTCCTCCACAGACATGTCCGGGTTGCTGTCGAGGTTGCCGAGAATCCACGACTCGCGCTCGGTCACAATCTCGTTGCGGTACTCGGACTTGGCGAGGGCGTAGCCCCAGTCCTTGAAGCCACCCTCGGTGAACTTCATGATGTTGCCCTTGTGGACAAGGGTGACCGACTTGCGCGAGTTGTCAAGCGCGTACTGGATGGCCGACTTGACCAGGCGCTCGGTGCCCTCACGCGAGACCGGCTTGACGCCCATGGCGGCAGTGTCCGGGAAGCGGACCTTGTCGGCCACGCCCTTGTCCTGCAGCCAGCCAAGGAGCTCCTTGACCTCGTCCGAGCCCGACTGGAACTCGATGCCGGCGTAGATGTCCTCGGTGTTCTCGCGGAAGATGACAAAGTCGACGTCCTCGGGCTTCTTGATCGGCGTCGGCACGCCGGCAAAGTGGACAACAGGGCGGAGGCAGGTGTACAGATCCAGGATCTGGCGGAGTGCGACGTTGAGCGACCGGATGCCGCCGCCAACAGGCGTCGTCAGCGGGCCCTTGATACCCACAAGGTACTCGCGGAAGGCGTCAATGGTCTCCTGCGGGAGCCACTCGCCGGTCTCGTTGAAAGCCTTCTCGCCGGCGAGCACCTCCATCCACTCGATCTTGCGCTCGCCACCGTACGCCTTCTCGACAGACGCGTCGATAACACGCGACGCGGACGCCCAGATGTCTGCGCCAGTACCGTCACCCTCGACGTACACCAGCGTCGGGTTGTTGGGCACATTCAGCTTGCCGGGCCCGTCCAACGTGATCTTGGCCTGCGCCACAGCGGCGGCCGAGAACGCACGCGCCGACGACCTGAAAGCCAGCCAACAACCAGCAATAGAGTAAGTATCGCCCGCCAATGCCACAGCGGTGGAGGTTGCACATCAACGCGCGTGGATGATCGCGGTGATCGCGGTAGCAATGCCAGGGAGCAGAGAGCCTCGGCTGTAGCTTGCGCTGGTGCAAGAGACGGCCGCCCGGCTAGTGGCAAGAGGCTTAAAAAAAGAAAACGCCCAAGTGCAGCCCAACAACCTAGCCATCGTCGTTGGCTTGTCCCCGACCCGCCTCCCCCCCTTCTCCACAGCCGGAGCTAGGAGGAACCAAGACGAGGTGAAAGAAAAGGGGAAGCAACCAAGGAGCAAGTAGTTTCCGCAACTGCTATCACCATTTCTCTCGCCTTCCAAACGGCCACAACCGTAGGTACCAGAGGATGGCAGAGGTGACAAAGGCAGAGCGCGTCACCATGACTCGTCTAACCAGTTTATGCATAACCATTGCATTGTTCATGCATAAACTCTGGTCGCTCTCCCACGCCGCCCCAGCCCAGCCACCCCCCCCCAACACCCACCCACACATCCTTCCTCATCACTACTTCCCCTTACAGCACAAACTCTTTCCACATAAGGTACACCGTAAAGGAGGGGGGGGGGGGGGAGGGAAAAGACAAAGGGGGTACGGTACGTACGCGAGCATGGTCATGGTCTGGGGGTTGAGGCGGCGAACAAACATTGTGTGTATCGACGTTAAGTGGTGGCGAATGGCGATGGTATTGGTCAACAATCGATGCCCAATGGTTGGCCATGTTGGCCATACTGGCCCATCCTCCTCCCCCCCCCCCCCCCCTTCGCATCCTCTCCTCCTCCCCCCCCCACCCCACCGCCCACCGATACGCAGACTCACTCGACGCATCCGACGTGGCTGGAAAAGGGCAAGGGACGTGTGCTGGTGTGGAGGTAGCGGTGAAGAATGGACGACGCTGAGGAAGTGGTGCGTGCCGCGCGGAATGAGCTTGCTGTGCTGGACAAGCTGGCGTACACCCATAGCAACCAGTATCGGGCGGTGTGCTTCTTCAAGTCATTGAAGAACATGCGGCGGATGGCAAAGAAGGTGCTCGACACGATCGAGCTCCCAGCAAGCTCGGGTGCTCGTCCATCGCCAGAGCGGGTGGTTGCAGCGGTCCGGATAGTCATCGAGCTCGCCAGAACGTGCTTTGATCAGGCCGGCAGCTACCTCGATCTCGGCCACCTCGGGCCAATGTCGGTCACTGTAATGGCCAGTGCAGCAGCAATGAGCAATCAGTTTGCCAAACTCAGGGATGTTCTGGTCAAGCAGGGAATCCCTTCTGAAGACCTCGGCTCCGGCGTGGCGCTGTCGAGATCGGCGTCGGCGTCCAAGAAGCGTCGCCGCGGTGGCATACCGTCGTCAACAACCTCGCGGCTGGCTGTCGAGCTCTCGTCCGGCGAGGAGAGCGATGACGAGCCCGTGGCTGCGCATTGGTCCCCTGCTGATGATGTCCGACCGCGCAAGCGACCCAAGGTTGCGCCGGTGGGAGCCACGTTACGCGGCGACGACGTCATGAACCTGCTCAGGCTCGATGTGTTCCCGCCGAGCGGGTCGAGCGGGTCGAAGGAATCGCGGGGCAGCAAGGAGAGGCGAGAGAACAGGTTGAAGGGCAAGGGCAAGGATGGGGGTAAGGACAAGAACAAGGGCAAGGAGAAGGGCAAAAAGAAGAAGAAGGGAAAAGCCAAGGGCAAGAGCAAGGCGCAGTCAGAGATCGACTTGTTGTTTGCTGGCGTGATGTGACGCAGGCTGTGGCCCAAGCTGTGTCGCAAGCTATGGCGGACCCGATGGTTGTTGGGCGAGGGCAATGCCAAGCGGTACGCACTACAGTCTGTTGAACTCGGACGAGAGCGCGTTACGCTTCTCGACAAGATTGAGGAGCTGGGTGTCCATGGCGCTGAGCTTGGTGTCCAGCTTCATGCGCTCCTCCATGAGCGAGTTGTATGAGTGAGTCGTCTCCTCGATCAGCCGTACCAGGGCAAGCTTGCGCTCGAGTGTCTCGGGCGTGAAATTGGCAATGACCTCGTTCTCGAGCTCGACAATGTCAGGTGTCGGCGCGGTCTCGGGAGCAACGACGCCGCCGAGCTCGCCACTGGAGGGCTCGCCATTGGGCGGCTCGCCATTGGGCAGCGGCGGTGTGGCGCTCTTGATCTTGGTCCTGGCTCGCTTGACTTCAGCCTGCGGCTCGGGTGAGAGTGAACGCGAGCGCTTGCGGCTCGGATGCTCCTCGATCGCGCTGCTGATGGCAGGAAAGGGGAGCGGCACAAACTTGGCGATCTTGGACGGCTTGATCTTGGTGACAAAGCGGATGTCCTTGCCTTCAACAAAGTCAAGGCGAATGTGCTGAAAGTAGAAATGGCCCGGCGCGGCATCGGTGGCGGCGACAGTGACGTCCACGATGCCGTACTTGGCGAGGTATGCCGTAAAGGTCTCCCAGAGCGTCCGCGGCAGGCAAGAATGCGCGTAGACAGGCATCGAGAACTCGATCTCCAGGACCTGCGCCACAAACTGGGTTTGCGAGAAAATGACAAAGCCAAGCTGGTCGTGCCACTTGCAGACCGAGTCAAAGGCCTCGTGTGAGAGAACCAGACTAAGAGCGTCGAGCAGCTCGCGGTTCTGGAAGAGCGGCCGTGCGAGCGCCACCAGCGACGCCCCGGGCTGCACAATCGGCGGGCCTCGCTCGAGCTGGACCGACTCGCCGCGCCGGAACTTTGACCTACGCGCGTACACGAGCTTCACCGCCGACGTGTACTGCTTGAGCGGATCGTTGACGGCCACAAAGCCAAACTCTTCCATGACCCGGATCAGGAGCCAAACGTGCGATGTTGGCAGCTCTTTGCCCGCTTGCCGCCACTCTTCAACCACGCTTGCGAGCATGACTGGCTTCTTCTTCCTCCTTTTCTTCGTTGTCTTACTCGCCTTGTCCGCCTTGCCCGCCTTGCCCGCCTTGCCCGAGCCCGATCCCGAGCCCGATACCGATCCCGAGTCTGCTTTTGATACCGAGCCCGAGCCCGAGCCCGAGCCCGAGCCCGAGCTGGAGCTAGAGCTGGAGCTGGAGCTGGAGCTAGAGCTAGAGCTAGAGCCGGAGCCGGAGTCAGAGCTCGAGCTAGAGCTCGAGGTAGGGCTAGAGCTAGCACTCGACCTCTCTCCTGCATCCGAGTCCGAGTTTGAGTTGGGATCCGAGCCGGAGCTTGAACTCGCACTAGCACTCGAGCTGGCACTCGAGCTGGAGTTGTCATCGGACGAGTCTGTGCCCGCGGAGCTGGTGACAAGAGTGGTGGGCTTGGACGAGGTCGAGCCGATGCGAGCGAGGCGGAACGGATCTGCAGCGCTGTTGGCGGCTTCCGCTGTAAAGCAGGTCTTGGCGCAAAAGGTTTGATGCAAGCTGCATGAGCTCAGCTTTGACTCCAACAGGGCGGCATTGATGATGATGATAGCAGAGCCATCCTTTGTCCACTCTGCCGCGCCAGCCAAGACATTGCCAGTCTGGAGCAGCTGGTGAAGTCTGACCAATAGAGCCTCTGCCCTCGACTTTGGTCTCTTCTTTCCCATCCACTCTGCTCTGACAACTACCTACGCTCCCTGGTCTTGCCTCCACCTCCCTTGAGCTACTCTCCGTCTCACGTGAGCTAATGCGAAGGAGTGAGAGCAATGTTCCTGGTGCCCACCACGGCCGCCCACTCGCTCGCCCTCGAGAGGATCTTGATGGATGGGAACCGGCGACGGTCCGAGGCGCAGGCCGAGGCGCAGGCTGAGTCGCATGCCGAGGTGGTAGACATGCGCATCGTGTAGTCAAACGATGAAGATAGACAGCTTGCGTTCATCACCAGAACGTAGGTCTCATCATCAGCTTCGTCTGATACTGCATCTGATCGAGCTGCTGCCGATGGCGAGCACAATGATCACAATGAGCTTGCCATCGCCAACGCAATCGTCACACCACAACCACACGCAAGGACGCAGAGCCACAGCCACAGCCACAATCACAGCCACAGCCACTCGACTTGCTCCCCCCCCCCTTCACCGCCTCTCAATGGGCTCCGTTCTACTAGAAACCACCCTCGGCAACATAGTCGTACGCAACCCCCTTCCCTTTCCTCCCCTCCCCTCCCCCTCCCCCTCTTCCCTCGCCACTCTCTCTTACCACTGCTCGACATGGACACAGATTGATGTGCATGCCGAAGTTGCACCTGTGGCGAGCTACAACTTTCTCAAGCTGAGCAAAATCAAGTTCTACGTTGGATCGCTGTTCTTCAACGTGCTCAAGGGCTTTGTGGTTGAGACGGGCGATCCGGTCGGCATCGGCTGTGGCGGCACCTCGGTGTTTGGCCTCTTGGGCAAACCGCCACCACTACCGATGGCGGCAAAGATGGCTCCCGCCGCTCCAGCATCTGACGAGGGTGTGGCGCAGGGCCAGGTGCTGGCAGAGTGCGAGGGCGGATCGCAGGTGCTAGCCGGTATGGATTCGGCGCATCGCTGGTTCGGCGACGAGATCTCCGTCCTGCTTCGGCATGACGCGCGCGGCGCGGTGGCAATGGCCAACAAGGCGCCCGGTAAGAACGGCTCGCAGTTCTACATTACGCTTGCGGATCGTTCTGCCTCTCTGGACGCGCTCAACGGGAAACACACCGTGTTTGGGCAGGTTGCCGAAGGCTTTGACGTTCTCGACGCGCTTGACGCCGCCGTTGTCGACGACGCGGGACGGCCGTTCCATAACCTCCGAATCCGCGACACCCATGTGCTTGTCGATCCGTTTCCGGACCCACCGGGCCTTGCGGCGCTTGCGCCGGTTGAGCTCCGCTCACCATGGCGCTTCCGTCCCGCCGAGACGGCACTCTTTGGTGACTCGCGCATCGACGACTCTGAGGCCGAGACGACCGCGCTGGCAGCCGCTGAGGCTGAAGCCGACGCCGAGGGCGAAGACGCTGAAGAGCGCAGGCTTGCCCGCGAGGCTCGCAAGCGTGCACAAGTCCTCGAGATCATCGGCGATCTGCCGTCGGCCGACGTCGCGCCGCCAGACACCGTCCTGTTTGTTTGCAAGCTCAATCCGGTGACCCAGGACGACGATCTGCACACCATCTTCTCGCAGTTTGGACCCATTGTCGAGTGCGCCGTCGTCCGCGACCGTGCCACTGGCGACTCACTCTGCTACGCCTTTATCGAGTTTGCCACCAAGGACGACTGCGAGCGCGCGTACTTTAAGATGGACAATGCCCTCATCGACGACCGCCGCATCAAGGTTGACTTTTCACAGTCGGTCGCCAAGCTCAAGTGGCAGGCGTTCAAGCACCAGCAGGGTGGCAGCACCCGCCGCTCTCGCCCGCCTCCCACCGCCCGCCCCCCACCTACCCGTCTTGAGCACAAGCGCTCGCGCTCTCGCTCGCGCTCGCGCTCGCCACCCCGCCACCGCTCTACGTCTTCGTCCCACGATCATCGCCGGCGACGTCACCGCCATGGTCACCGCCACCGCCACCGCCATGGTCATGGCCACCGCCACCGCCACCGCCACCGCCACCGTGACTAGTCGGTCGCGCCAACCAGCGAGCTTGCGCCGTGCGCAACTGGACACCGGCGCCAGTCGATGGGAAGGTCGACGCCCGTCCATTCGCCGGCAGTCACCTTTGCGTCGACAGCAGCAAACCGTGCACGCCAGGCCTCGCGCTCGCGCGCTACGTCTGCCTGCAAGCTGGCAAAGGCAGCGGCCAGTTTGGACTGCGGCCGCGAGGCGGTGAGCGTCGCCACGTCGCGGAAAAGCGCAAGCAGCTGAGCCCATGCCTTTTCCAGCTGGGCCACCCGCTCCGGCCAGTAGGCCAGCCCGCGCTGGAGCTTGTGGTGCGTTGCGCCGTGCCACCAGTACTGGCGGATCCACTCAAACTCCAAGACCAGAAACGACTCGCAGAGCAGGTCCCAAGTCGAGCCCGGTCGCGGAAGCAGCGCCCGCAGCGCCGCCGGCGACTTGGTCAGCTTCTTGGCCTTGCGAACCGCCCGGGTCAGCCGTGGAAAGACTCGGTCGAAGTGGTTGTGCTCGGTCGTGGTCACTCGATGTGTCGACGAGTACCGGTGCGACGAGCCGCAGACCACGACGTGCTGGTGGTGGTGGTTAAAGTCGCCGAGGAGAAAGTACATCGCGCCGTGGTCGAGCGGGAGCGCCAGCTTGGGCGTCACCTCGTCGTAGATGACCCTTAAGCCGACGTGCCACGGCGCAGTCTCGTTCTCGGCCGTCAGCTGGTACACCCCGATCGTCGACCAGTCCTCCAGCGATGTGTCCTGGTGCCACGAGACGACGGCGCGCCCAAGGCCCTCAAACGGTGGTGGCTTGCCCTCGCCCTCGCCTGTCAGCACGTCCATGTCGTTGATGAGGGTGAGATTGAACAACGTCGAGCCGGGTGTACCTGCTGCTTCCAGATGCGCATTGCCCTTGGCAATCATGACCTCGTTGAGCTCGCGGATGGCGCCCAGTGCGCCTGCAACCGCGGCATCGGCAGCCTCGAGCGCCGGCCCAGCCCACGGCACTGCAAACACCCGTGCGTTGAGGTACTTGTATGTCATTCCCGGCTCGCCCACCACCACTCGCCGCACATACGTCGGCCCCAGCTCTTCGATTTTGCCCGGCTGCACAAAGTCGAACTTGAACCACCCGCGGGCTTTGAGCACCTTCATCGCCGCGTGGAACTTGGCGTGGTCGCTCGCCGCCAGCGAGCTTGCCCCGTCCTCGATCACCGCTCCGGCATAGCTTGTCGCCATCAGCTTCTCCACAAGCTTAGGATGCGAGCTCGGTGTGCAGAAGAGCGGTCGTGGCGACGGCAGTGCCTCGATCGGATACGGCTTGGGCCGTATCGACGTCATCGCCACACCAGCCCCAGCGCCATTGCCAGATGAAGATGCAGCGTCGCCTCCGACCTGCTCGTTGCCCCACCCCGCTTTTGCTTCTTCGTCTTCTTGCTGTTGCTCTTGCCATCGCTTCCACATCGCTTATCCCTCGCATCGCCGATGCCATCACCATTGCTGTCCCTCTTGCGCTTCCGTGCCCGCTTGCCGCTCTCAGCGCCTCGCCCATCCTGCCCACTGCTGCCAGTCAGCGTCTCCTTGCCCTTGCCCTTGCCCTTGCCCTTGCCCTTGCCCTTGCCCTTGCTCTTATTCTTGCCCTTGCCCTTGTCCTTGCTCTTCCCAGCTTCATCTTTGCTCTTTCCCGAGCCCAGTAGCTCCCGCTGGAGCGCGGCCCAGTTGGACATGCCTCGAGTTGAGTCGTATCACACCGTCACCGTCGCCAGAACCGAGGATGGACGCTGCGAAATGCCCCAAACTGACCGGGTGTGACTGATGCGGGTGCGACGGGCCACGGCAAAAGGACGCACGCCGCAGGGGAGGGATTTCATTTTGTAGCCACATATTGCATCATCCCAGTCATGCCGAGCCGAGCACCATCATCCCCTAATCGACCATCGTTGCTCTTACCATTATCTACAGCTTCTCCTCCTCCCTCCCCCCCCCTCCACACACACAAACACCCCACACCCTCTCATGGTCATGTTGAACACAGCGATGGCCATCAGTATTCTGCCTTGAGGAAGTGAAAGTGGGGTTTTTTTTCCTTGAGCTGAAAACGTTTCTCTACCAGCTTGCCCAGCCCCTTGCGTTGACCCCTAGCAAAGCCCGCACCACTCGTCTTTACTTGTGTAGAGACATGGGTCACTCGGCTACTTCTAGCCACAAGTACAATGGTGCCGGTGGGAGGATACGGCGGAGGAGGAGGAAGCGGAAGCCGGTGGGTGGCGTCGCGGGCGGTCGGCGTGGGTCTCTGGTCGTCGGGCGGTGCGGAGCGAGTGCGCGGTCATTACGGCGGCAGAGGCTGAGTTGGAGCCAGGAAGAGCAAGAGGAGGAGGGTGACCTCTCCTCGACACTCACGCCTTCGTCTGACATTCTGGAGAAGAACGGGCGTGAGCTCGCAGGTCTTTTCCCCCCGACATTGGCTCAGCCAGGCAAGGTGCCCTTCTCGGAATTGGAACGAGCGTCCGGGCCTGTCGAGCTGGTTTCAGCCTCGGCTCTCGGCCATGGCCCGCACTCGGCTTCGACAACCGAGACAGTCACCACAGCGTCATCTACTGCGTCCAGGTCTTCAGCTTCGAGCCTGTCGTCGTCATCGTCATCGTCGTCATCGTCGTCATCATCATCGTCGTCATCGTCGTCAGCGCCGACCCGCCGCAAGGTCCACACCTATCGCAGGGTCTCGGTCTCGTCGTCGATGGACGAGTGGGCAGAGTCGGTAACCAACCAGAATGAGCTTCAGGTGCTGACGCGGCGGCGGGCCAAAGCCAAGACCAAAGTTGCCAAGGCCGCCAAGACATCTTCTGCCGCGCGGCGTGGCGCCAATGCGGGCGATGGGCAAGCTGCAAGCACAACTGTACCCATTGCTGTCCGCGTGGGGAGCAACTCGGACAACGTGCAGGTCATCATGCCGCAGAAGCCGGTCCGTGCCGAGTTTGAAGCCGTCGCCCGGTACCTTTCCGGACCTGGCGCGCGGAGCATCGGATCAGACTCATCGCGAAGCGTGTTCTGGCGCAAGCTCAAGTCGCGGGCCAAGCGGAAAGCGAGGCGGTCGTCAAACAACGCACTGTTTTCGACGTCTGGCCGGACGTCAAACCTTGACAACTCGACCGCATCGGTGGGCTCAGCCACTTCGGCCACCTCGGCTGCTTCGGTCGCGTCGAGCAGTGGCCTCCCGCCGACCTCGTCCCGCGAAGCGCGACTCTTGCGCAAGTTTGAAAAGAAGGTCGGCAGTGTGGCGTCGCGACGCAAGGAGAAGGCGCGACAGATGGCACGTGGCAAGCTGGCGTCGATCAAGCACAAGAAAAAGGCGAGCATCGACCCAGCAAAGTACACCATGCCGTGGGGCTCGATCCGTGACTACGACATCAACAAGCGCGCACTTGTCGGCGAGGGCTCGTACGGCCGTGTCTTCCTCGCCTCGCACAAGTCGTCAAGCGACCTCGTTGTGGCCAAGGAAATCAAGCCGGCCAAGGAGAATCCGGTGCGGCTCAAGCTCGAGGTCATGATTCTAGAGGCGCTGGCGGCGGCAGCGCTGGACAAGCCAAAAAAGCCTGGTGCCGACTGCATCGTCGGCCTCAACGACGTCGTGCGCGACACCAAGTCGGGCACCAAGTACATCATCATGCCGCACGTCAAGTCGCGGGCGTTCCGCAACCTGGCACCGTCGCTCAGCTCGGGCTCGGGCGGGCCGCTTGCTCTCAAGCACTACCTGTTCTCGCTGGTCAAGGCGCTGGCCTTTGCGCACTCACACGGTATTGTCCACCGGGATATCAAGGGTGGCAACACACTGTACGACCCCAAGACTGGCAAGTTTGGCCTTATCGACTGGGGCTTTGCTACCTGGTACTCGCCCAAAACCGTCCAGACCTCATTTCCGGGAACCCGCCACTTTAAGGCGCCCGAGATGTTCCTGCACTACCGCAAGTACGACTACGCCGTCGACATGTGGTCGTTCGGCGTGCTCATGGCCGCCCTCGTCACCGACCGTCCGGCCTTTTTTCCGGTCGGCCACACCTCGAGCAACTTTTCCCAGATGCTGGCAGTCGTCGCCTTTCTCGGCCTCGATGCCTACGAGGCCTGGCTCGACAAGTACTCGGTCCCCGACGACTACCTGCTCAAGTACCATCCGGCCATCTTCCGCGAGCTCGGCTGCTCGGCCTCGCGCATCGCGTGGGCCGACCTTGTCAACGGCGCCAACCGCGCCTCGGTCTCGCCGCTCGCCCGCGATCTCATCGACCGCCTCGTCATCTTTGACCACGAGGCCCGACTCACTGCTGCCGAGGCTCTCAACCATCCGTTTTTTGACGACGTCCGCTCCAAGGGCTTCAGCTCCGGCATAACCACCGCCTCAACGCCCACCCTGGTGGCTCCGCCTTCACGTTCCTCGCGCAGGCGCTCCTCTCGCGCTGCGTCTACCCCTCTCCTCGATGTCAATGTCTCGGACGACATCCACGCGCACCCTCGTAAGCTCACCTCGATCTCGGTCTCGTCGTCCAGCTCGCGTCCGTCGTCAGCCTCTTCCTCGTCGGCATCCTCCTCCTCCTCCTCATCGTCGCCGTCGTCCTCCTCCTCGTCGTCCTCATCCTAGCCTGTTGCCGTGACCGTGGCTTGTCCTTCCCTTCAATTGGTGGAGAACAAACAGCCGTGCGAGCTCCAAGCAATGAAAGCGTCCCATCACTCAGCGTCCCATCACTCAGCGGACCCTCCACAGAGCCATTCCATCGCTTCGATAAGGCATCTTTCTTTTCGGTTTTTTCGTCAACCTCAAAACCCCGCTCGCCTTTCAGCCAGCTGCTGGACCCAAAGGCATCCCCTCACAACCACTTCACGCCCAAGGTCAAACTTGCACATGAGCGACATTGGAGAGCGCATTGCAGCCCTTGTCGTGCTAAAGGATGCGCTGCCGGGCTCTGTGGTGGACGGCCAGGTGGCTGATCTGGTAGCCCTGGTGGCAGCAGGCCCGCTGGCAGCAGCAGCAGGCCACCTCAAGGCCATGTTTGATGCCGGCCTGCTGACTCAGGACGAGCTAGTCGTCCACACTACGGCACTCATGGCAACTGCCTCGCCGCAGGCGACTGCCACGGGAGCGCACGCCTCATCGGTGCCACTTGCGGACTCGCTCGATCTGCTCATCGAGACTGGAAAGGTGCCGGATGGTACAGACGCTGCCTTTGCTGACATGGCTGCCGCGCTCAAGGCTCTGGCCGGCGTAGAGACGCTCGATGACGCCACTTGGCTGTTTCTTGCGCCAGATCGGGATGCCAAGCTTGTCACCATGGACATGGCGCTGACAGATGTATTTGTTGCACTGGGTGATGCACTTGTGGCTGCCGCCCCGGCGGCGGCAGCAGCAGCAGCCGAGGATGCGGCTGCCGCGACGGCGTCGGCCCAGGCCCATTCGCTCCAGACGCGATCGCTCGGCCTCTCGCAGCGATCAACCAACGAGCTCGATGGTGGCGCCGCTGGCCCGTCGTCACCGCCTGCAAGCGCGCTCTCGATCGGTGGCGAGACGGCGTCGCCGGACTCGATGGCGTTTATCGGAAGTGTGGCCCTGGCGGCGCCAGGTGCGTCGGCCGACGCTCAGAAGGCCGGCGCATCGGTCAACGCGGAACTTGCAGCGCAACTTGGAGTGCCTGATCCAGGCATGCCCGGAATGGCATCGCTCCTGCTGGTGCCCGACGCGCACGACCCGAGTGCGCTCTACGCCTACATCCAGGCGCCCGTGGTTGACGACGGGGCGTCGGCGTCGAGCCAGATTGAGCACATTCACGGCGGCTCGAGCAGCGAGGAGCCTGGAACAGGTGAGCGGCTGGTCATCTCGCTCGACATCTCGTCGTCGATGAACCACGACGAGGCCGGAGTTTACCTCGCGCCAGGCTCGCCGGATCACCCCGCGTCATCGATCGCCAAGGCCCGGTCGCTGCTGCCGGATCTCATTGCCGCGTCGCTCCGGTCGGATGTCTCAGTCACAGTTGTTGTGTGGAACCACGACATTGTGCGTGAGATCGACGTGGCGGCAGCCACTTACCGCGACGCTGCAACTGGCGAGTTTCCGGAGAACCTTGCGGAGCTCGTTGCGCCGCTTGTCTCCGAGAGTGCGTTTGTGGCCGACGGCGCAACCGATACTGAGATTGCGCTCCACGCCACACTGGCGCGCGCCGGCGGCTTTGCCTCCGCTGGTACCAACAAGGTCACGGTCTGGTTCCTCACCGACGGCGAGCAGACGTACTACCACAAGAACGGCAAGGTACGGAGCATCAAGAATACGCCGCGGTTCCAGAACCCGATCGACGCCAGCGGGGTGACCCAGTACCAGCGCGAGGTGCTCGACACGGCGATGCCGAGTGTCGTGGCCATCGGCGAGCGAAAGTGCCAGCTCGAGTTTCACATTTGCCACTTTGGCGACGCTGATCCTGTCTTCCTCCGCGCACTCCGCGAGAGCGTCGACGGCCACTTTCACGCCTTTACCTCACTCGATGCTATCGCTGATGAGATGGCCATGTCTGCGGTCTCGACCTCGGGCAGCGTGGCGGTTGTCGCTGGCGCAGACTCGTTCGACATCCCCGTGGCCATCGACGCCACCGCCGGCGTATACTGCGGCCGGCGTTCGGGTGTACCGCGGTCGCTCATCGGCTTCCTCACCTCGCCGAAGAGCACGACAAAGCCGCTGACGCTCACGCTGCCAACAGGCGAGCCCGTAGCGCTTCCGTTCTTCCGGCCGACGGTCCTCAGCGCGGCGCAGACCGATGTGCTGAGCAAGGTGCACTCGCTCGAGCCGCGGCTGCGGACAACAATGGATGAGCTCTCAGGCAATCTGTCTGCTGCTTCGCTCGACGATGCGGCGCAGGCGCTGGCATCTCTGCGGCGGGCGCGCGGCGAGCTTGTGCGCAGCGCCGTGCGGGCGTTCCGTGATGGTTCGCTTGTGTTTTCATACCTCGAGCGCGTGCTGGAGGCGGTTGGTGCCCACATCGAGGGCATGACACGGACGATCAACCAGTTTCTGCGGAGCCAGGGTGCCGAGTTTAACGCCAAGGCTGCCGAGGCGACGCAGCTGTTCTCAGCCAAGGAGCAGATGGCGATTGCGGCGTCGGTCGACTCAATGCGGGTCCGAATTGGGTCGGGCATCCGACAGCGGTGCATGGAGAAGCGGGTGGCACGGCTGGTGGCCGAGGGCGGCTCGCGGGCAGCGCGGGCGCTGGCGCGGGTGGTGACGGCGACGTGGACCCCGCTCGACGACGGCTCGGCGCTGATCTCGCTCCGCATCATGGAAGGTGGCGCCGCAACAGCAGCAAGGCGCGCGTTTCTTGCGGCATACGTGGCCAAGCATCCGAATCCCGATGCTACGAGCGTCATGGCCGCGACACGGTGGGACATTGTCGAGTGGACCGAGACGGTGAGCCACGACGTGGCGCGGTTCGCGGCGGCGGTGGCCGGGACCGGCATCGGGTCTGTGGGGAGCAACAGCGCCATTCCGCCACACCTCCGTGCGCTTTCGTCAGAGATCTCCGCCGTGTTTTCGGCGCCAGGTGTGCCGGCAGCGCGAATCGGCCCGGTCTCTGTTCCGACAGCAGCGGTGTACGATGTGAGCGGCGAGGCCGGAACCGGCACAGTGTTCACGTACACACCGACCGAGGTCGTGCGGACTGTGGATGTTGAGGCGGCCGTGGACAAGTACGTGGATCCGCTGTCGTGCCTCGACCTGTTTGATCTCATGAACGAGGGCTCGCTGCCGGCCGCGCTGTACACGGTAGGCTCTGTCGGCTCACCGGGCCTGCTGTACAATGCTAAGGAGTCGCTGACCGTGGAGGGCGGTGGACGGCAGCTGACGTCGTTTGACTACTTTCGGCTCTTCTGGCGGATGCAGCACTCGGCGGACGGATCGCGGCAGGTGCTGATGCCTGGTGCGTTTGAGCCGGCCAACTTTGCGCTGCCGCTTGCGCCGGAGCCGATGTCGGGCGCGGTACTTGTAGCCGTGCTACCGTCCCTGGTGGGCGAGTTTGTGACCGGGACGCCGATGGCGCCGCTCTCGGGCGTTGGCGACTTTTACATTCCGTTTGTGGTGTACCACATGAAGCTTGCGCAGCCGACGACGCTCGACTTTGAGCGGATGCTTGAGGAGCTTGCCACGCTTGCGTGCTGGGTCTACAACCCGCGGACCCAGCCGCGGCCTGTGGACGCACTCGCAGTGGTACAGGGTATGGTGGACGAGGGACGCATCCGCCGGCGCGACTCGCCGGGACGGCAGCTCCCGCTCAAGGGCTTGATCTACTCGCTGATCTTCAACGATCTTCCGCTCGCGCCGCGATTCACGGCGCTCTTCAACGAATGCCTGGTCCGGTCGGTGGGCATGCTCCTCGAGACGCCGCAGAAGGCCAAGTACCAGGTTCGCAAGGTCTCGCTTGTTCCGATCGAGGCCTGGGTCGGCGACGTGGTCTCTGCGCTAGCTCCGGTTGCTCACGCGGAGATTCCGGACATGGACGACGACGGGGTGCCTGTCCGCGCCATGGCAACGGTATCAATGCTGGCCGAGTGGATGACTCGCGCCGATGAGACCGGGTTCTCGGGCGAGGCTGTGGCATGGCTGCAGGAGCATCCGGATGCGGTGAACGTGCTAGCCGGCGCGCTCGAAGCGCTGCTCATCACCTCGGGCGATGCTGGGTTTGGCGTGGGCAAGGCCGGTCGGGATCTGCTGCGGTGGCGCAAGGTGCTGCGGCTGCTGTGCGCGTGGCATGTTGTTGCGCGCAGCTCGCTGGGCGACGCGCTGGCAGCTTATCGTGCTTTTGCGCACCCGCAGGCGACGCTTGACGAGATTGCTGCCGGCTTTGCGGACCTGGCGTTCGATGCCTCTGTCGACGGCGCACCGACAATGCTGGCGTCGGCGCTGGGGCTGACGATGGCCAGCGACGGCTCGACGATGACAGTGGTGAGCTTTGCCGACGGGGCTGTGAGCGCGAAGAGCTTTGCGCCGGCAGTCGGTAGTGAGATTGTGGACGCAGGCAGGTTCGAGGTTGTGGCGCTGGTGTGGCGGATGTTTCACACGGTGGCCTCGGCGTGGAGCTGGTCTGTGGAGAGTGCCGAGACGACGCTCTGTGGCCTCCATGATGTCGACTACGCGGTGGCGCGGGTCCTGCTCTACCCGGACACGGTGGTTTCCGCGGGGCTGACCCCGGCGCAGACGAGCGTTCTGCTGGCGGTCAAGGCGTACAAGCCTGTGTGGCACCGGTACGCGCGGTTTGTGGTGCCGCCGCCAGAGCTTCCGACGGTCCCGGGCTCGTCGACGCGGCTCAAGTCGTCCGAGGGCCAGTACTCGAATGCCGACAAGCCGCACGTGGCACTCTCGCTGATTGGTGAGATCGACTCGGGCAAGTCGACGACGGCTGGAAACCTGCTGGTGCAGTGCGGCATCGTTCCGGAGCAGAGCGTACGCAAGATCGAGCGTGAGGCTGCGGAGATCGGGCGAGGCGACTTCAAGTTTGCGTGGATTACCGACTCGCAGGCGGCTGAGCGGGCGCGCGGAGTGACAATCGACTGCGCGTTTTGGAAGCTGGAGACGCCAGAGCGGTTCATCACGCTTGTGGATGGGCCTGGGCACCGGTCGTTTCTCAAGAACGCAGTGATGGGCATGGCGCAAGCGGACCTTGCGCTGCTCGTCGTCGACGCGTCGCCGGGTGCGTTTGAGGCGTCGATCTCGCGCGGTGGGATGGTACGCGACCACCTGACTGTGGCCAAGTCGATGTCGATGACGCGGCTGGTGGTGGCAATCAACAAGATGGACGCGGCAGGGTACGATGAGGCACGGTTTGTGGAGGTGGGTAGCGAGCTGGAGCGACTGCTCCGCAAGTCTGGCTTTTCGAAGCGGTCTGTGGCAATGGTCCCGATTGCGGCCTTTGCCGGAGTCAACCTCTGCGACGAGGCGCGCGACGTCATGCCGTGGTACTACTCGGGCAAGTACGGGTCCGGCCCTACGCTCGTGGCGGCGCTGGACGCGGTGGCGATTCCAGTGCGCGCTGTGGAGAAGCCGTTCCGGATGGCAATTGCCGAGTCGTTCGTGGTGTCGGGCGTGGGAACAGTGGTCGGCGGGCGGGTACTGTCTGGTAAGATCGCACCAGGCGACGATCTGGTGGTGGCGCCAATTGACATGCCGACAGCAGTGCGGTCTGTCGAGATGCACCACGTGCAGCTAGCGCAGGGCGTGGCTGGCGACATTGTCGGGCTGCACCTGAAGAAGGTGGGTGTGGCGCAGGTCCCGCGCGGGTACGTGGTGGCGGCGGCCAGCAACCCGCCACGGGCTGTGACCTCGTTCCGGGCGCGTATCGTGGTTGTTGTTCGCCATCCGGGCATGATCAAGGTCGGCTTCAAGCCGACGATGCACATCCACACCGCGCAGGTCCCGGTCCGGATCACCGCCATCCACACCATCCTGGACAAGCGGACGTTCGAGGTCATCGACGACTCGCCGAGTGTGCTCAAGGCTGGGCAGGCTGCCGAGGTCACCCTCGAGCCGACCAAGCTCCTTGTGGCCGAGCCGTTTGCCGACTCGCCGGCGCTGGGCTCCTTTGTCCTCCGCGCCACGTCTTTCCTCTGCGGATCGGGCATCATCCTCGACGTGACCACTTACGACGGACCGTCGCGAGCGGCGGCATCGTCGTCTTCATCGCGGCGGCGGCGGTGAGTCCGGAGTCGTGGTACGGGATAAATATGAGCAAGTGGTCATGTCGAAAGGGAGTGAGCTCGAGCGTGCACCTGCCATTGCCAAAGTGGTCAGCGCCGCAGTTTACTGTTGATCGGAGCGGTGACTTGTGTCATACGAGCATTGAAGCATTGGAGGCATTGTCTTCTCTTTCGGCGGTATTCGGTAAAGGTGCCAAAGAGCGACATGGCAGCCTACGATGAGTACTCCAGTAGGTTGCCAAAGGGGGGGGGGGGGGCTACACAGAAGAACTGCTGGTCGGTGGAGGCTTCGTCTTGGAACACTCGCGAGCGGTCGCTTCGGGAATGGACGGCGAGGGGTTTTGGGGAGGAGGGGGAAGAGAGGCTGGGGGCAGGGAGAGGCAGGGATGCAGGGGGGCTGACAATGGTGTGGAGGATGGGTGGTATGGGGGAGTAGGTGAGGTGGAGTTTGAGTTTGAGCTGGAGTCGGACGACGACGGGATTGGAGTGGAGGACGACGATGAGGGCGAGTACGACGAGGCGCCCGAGGTGCTGGACGCGACCCAGCTGAGTGTAAGGCAGTGGACATTCATGGCCGAGGTGGGCAACCTGCTTGCGATCTCACAGCCGCTGGCCGGGCTGCTCCTGCATCACTTTGGGTGGTCGAAAGAGCGACTTCGGGCGCGGTACTTTGAGAACACGGAGGAGGTGCTGGAGAAGGCCGGAGTCAAACTGGAGATGGTGGCCGGATACAGTGTACCGGAGGAGTGCGAGATCTGCTGCGACGATGTAGATGCGTCGACGGTGTTTGCACCCAACTGTGGGCATGCCTTCTGCAAGGGGTGCTGGCAGGACCATCTTGCGTCGCAGATTGCGCTCGGACCGAGCTGCCTCACGACGCGGTGCATGATGACCGACTGCCCTGTAGCGCTAGACTACGCAGACGTCAAGGCGTTGGCTGCCGGCGACGACTTTGCCAAGTACGAGAACATGTTTGTCAACTCATTTGTCGACGGCTCCAAGTCGCTGCGGTGGTGTGCAAACCCCACGTCGTGTGGACGGGCGATCTCGTACACCGGGCCGAAGGTGGGCAAGGTTGTCGAGTGCGGGTGTGGCTTTCTGATGTGCTTTTCGTGTGGCGCCGAGGGCCACGCGCCAGCCAAGTGTGCTATGGTTCGCGAGTGGAACCTCAAGGCGGCATCCGAGGCCGAGAACACGCGGTGGATCCTGTCTAACTCAAAGCCGTGTCCCAAGTGCGGGGTCTTTATCGAGAAGAACAAGGGCTGCATGCACATGACGTGCAAGGCGCCGGGGTGCACCCACGAGTGGTGTTGGCTCTGCCGCGGGCCGTGGACAGAGCACGGGTCGGAGACCGGCGGGTACTACAAGTGCAATCGGTACGACGAGTCTGCCGCACGCGAGGATGACCTTCAGGCCGCAGCCATCAAGTCGTCGCACGACCGCTACCTGCACTACTTTAACCGATGGTACAACCACGGCAAGTCGAAGGAGTTTGCCTCGCAGTACGTTGTCGAGATCAAGTCGCGGATGGAGGAGTACCAGTCGACAACCGGCTGGTCGCCCGAGTTCCTCATGGAGGCTGCTGAGCTCGTCATGGAGTGCCGGCAGGTGCTCAAGTGGACCTATGTCCTCGCCTTTAACCTCGAGTCGGACTCGGAGCGCAACCTCTTTGAGTTTCTGCAGGAGGATCTCGAGAAGAACACCGAGCGGCTCAACTCGATGACCGAATCGCCTGTCGATGAGCTCGACCCATCGCAGCTCAAGAACTACACCCGAGTCACCCGCAACTTTCTGCACAAGCTCATTCAAGGCTGCGAGTCTGGACTCACCATCGTTGCTGATGTGGAATGAACGAACAAGCGAGAGAGCACGCATAGTTTGGGAGCGGAACACAACGAGCTCGGCACAGCGGCCCTGGCCTACACTGCCTCTCGCACTCACACTCGACTCAGGCAACAACCTAACTTGGTGGCTATGCTCCGACTTGGGATGCAGGTTGCGGCGGCGATGGGCGCAGGAGCGAGCAGAGGTGCGTGGGCAGCTGCGGCGCAGCGGGCTCGGCTGACGAGCGCAGCAGGGGCACGGTCGGCATCGGCGTCGGGCGAATACGACCTAGCGGTGCTGGGCGGCGGGTCGGGCGGACTGGCGACTGCGCGGCGGGCGGCAGAGCACGGGGCCCGGGTGGTACTGGCCGAGGGTGGGAGGCTCGGCGGGACGTGCGTCAACGTCGGGTGCGTGCCCAAGAAGGTGACGTGGGAGGCCGTGAACACGCTCGAGGCGGCCAACCACGATTTGGGGGCGTTTGGCGGATACTCTGGCCCGGACGATGCGCGAAGCCACGTTGAGGCCAAGATCCACTACCCTACGCTCAAGGCCCGCCGCGATGCGTACGTCGAGCGACTCAACGGGATCTACGCCTCGGCGCTTAAGAACGCCGGCGGCAGCGGCGGCTCGATCGACATTCTGCGCGAGGACGCGCGCCTGTGGAAGGACAGCGATGGCCACGTGGCTGGCGTTGAAGGTAAGGAGACAGGCACCGTTGCCAGCGCGTCGTCGGTGGTCATCGCCACGGGCTCGACGCCGCTGTTTCCGGCGTCGGTGGCCGGCGCCGCCGAGCTGGGTTCGGACTCGGACGCCTTTTTCACCTGGTCCAAGCCGCCGGCATCGGTGGCGGTTGTCGGCGGCGGGTACATTGCTGTCGAGCTAGCAGGCATGCTGGCGGCGCTCGGCTCTGAGACCACCATGCTTGTCCGCGGCCCGCAGGTGCTTCGCCACATCGACCCGCAGATCGCAGACGTGCTCCACTCCCAGCTCACCAGCGCAGGCGTCGACCTCCGCCTCAACACCGGGGTCTCGGCAGTGACCAAAGGAAGCGACGGCCTGCTGGAGGTGGCCTCGCCCGATGCACAGCTCCCGCTCGGCATGTGGGACAAGGTTCTCTTTGCCACCGGGCGTGCGCCGCTGACACAGGGCCTCGGCCTCCGCGACGCAGGCATCGAGCTCAACGACGCCGGAGCCATTGTGGTTGATCCACACCACCAGACCTCGATCCCGCACGTCTTCGCCATCGGCGACGTGGCTAACACGCCCGGCGACCTCACGCCGGTGGCGATCAAGGCCGGGCGGACGCTCGCGGAGTGGCTTTTCAACCCGGCGGCTGCCGGCGCGCCGCCCCTCGACTATGCCACCATCCCCACGGTCATGTTCACCCACCCGCCGATCGGCTCGGTTGGGCTCTCGGAGGCCGAGGCCGTGGCCAAGTTTGGCGCCGACGCCGTCAAGGTCTACTCGGCGTCGTTCACCAACCTCTTCTACGGCCTCCATGAGCCGGCAGACAAGCAGCCGACGTTGATGCGCATTGTAGTCAACACCGCCGACTCGGAGCGGGTCCTCGGCATCCACGGCATTGGGCGTGGCATGGACGAGATCATGCAGGGCTTTGGCGTCGCTGTCACCATGGGCGCCACCAAGGCCGATCTCGACGCCACCATCGCCATCCATCCCACAGCCGGCGAAGAACTGGTGACCATGCGGTGAGGCGCGGTGGGTCGAGATAAAAGCGAGCAACAGTTCCCGAGGCCAGTGACAGGAGCAGCAGGCCGGGCGAGCTGGCCGAGTGCCGAGTGCCGAGGCGTCGGGCGAGCGCAGACTTTGTTGGCTAAACACCGAACATTGCACTCGCAACGAGGAAGAAGACCAGTGCCGGGCTTTGGGGGGAGGGCATGCTGCGCCCGCTGCGTGTAGTCCAGGCTCTCGGCGTTGGCGTGCGTACGTCAGGAGAAAAGGGGGGGGGGGGGGGGGGGGAGGGGAGGGGGGGGTATTGACTCATGGGCGTGCGGACGACATGGCGACGTGGCGACATGGCTACGTGGCGGCGGCGTGGCGTGGCGGGACGGCGATGGACGGATCGGAGGGGGTAGGAGGCGTCAAGACCAAGATCAACAGGAGGGCGGCTGAGCTGAGGGTGAAGCACAAGGGTTTGCTCATGCCTGAGCGGGTGTTTCTGGTCCGGCACGGCGAGTCTGAGGCCAATCTGGACCGGACAGTGTACTTCGAGACGCCCGACAACGAGCACGCACTCTCGCTCCGTGGCTTCCAGCAGGCCAAGGCCGCCGGTGAGCTCATCTCGCGGTACGTGCCGCCGGGCGAGGACTTTATGATCTACCACTCGCCGTTTGAGCGCGCGCTGCAAACGTGCGCCGGCATCTACGCCGTCCTCGCCCAGACGCACGGCGAGGCAAATCTGCATGTGCGCGAGGATCCGCGTCTCCGCGAGCAAGAGTGGGGCAACTACCAGACGCCATCTGCGCTACAGGCCATCCAGGACGAGCGGGCCAACGTCGGCCGCTTCTACTACCGCTTCCCAACCGGCGAATCGGGGTGCGACGTCTTTGACCGCGTCTCATCCATGCTCAACACTTTTGTCCGCGACGCATTCGGCACCAAGCGCAAGAACAATGTTGTCATCGTCTCACACGGTCTCACGCTCCGCCTCTTCCTCATGCGCTTCTTCCGCTGGAACGTCGACACCTTTGAGGCGCTGATGAACTTTGACAACGGCCAAGTGCTGCTCATGAAAAAGGCACCCCACCATGGGATGGAGATCATGGTCGATCCGCCGGTCGAAAACATCTTTGAAGACCTGCTCATCAACACACCGCTCCCGCCAGGCGCCACGTCGTACAACAGCCTCTTTGAGAACGGGGAGTGGACGTCACTGCCGGTCATCCGCGACCTCGCCCGCTCGCTCTATGGCATGCCGCCCGACCGCTCCGGTCGCTCGCTCCTCGGTCACGCTGAGCCCGAGACCCATGGCGACTACGGCCCCGACACCCTCGACATCGCGATGGAGGTCTCGCGCGAGCCCGATGACATGGCCGGCCCGCTCGGCCCGCTGCCCGAGACCGACGACCTCGACCGCGCGCCCACAGAGTTTGATGCCATCCATGATGCCATCCACCAGGATGTCAACGACTTTGACGCGCCGGCTTTCCCTCGCCGCAAGTCTCCCATCCGGACGAGGCAAGCAGCTCCAACCCGACGGCGACGGCCCATTCCACCAATCACAAACCCAAGCCCAAGCCCAAGCCCAAGCCGCCGCATACGTTTGCGGTAGAGCACAAGTAAGAAGCGACGTCTCCGGACCGCGACAGCGTAGGAAAGTAATCAAAAGCATACTCACCAAGCTAGCGCGCTCTCGGAACAGGAGCCATGATCCACATCCGCTACAGCAGCCCGCACGCGCCGATGACGACGGGTGCCGTCGGGGCGCCAGTACTCGATCCTACGGCCTCGATGGCGTCAAGGACGTCTAGCCCGTCGACGACAGAGCCAAAGACGACATGTTTGCCATCGCACTGTGGCGCAGGTGCAAGAGTGAGGAAAAACTGCGAGGTGTTCGAGTTGCGGCCCGAGTTGGCCATAGAGACCACGCCGCGGGCATCGTGCTTGCCCTTGAGCCCGGCCTTCTCGTCCTTGAACTTCTTTCCGTAGATCGACTCGCCACCCGAACCATCGCCGCGGACAAAGTCGCCGCCCTGCGCCACAAAGCCCGGGACAATGCGGTGGATGGGAGTGCCGGCGTACGACAGCGCTTTGCCCGAGGCCTTGGACACGCCCTTCTCGCCCGAGCAGAGCGCGGCAAAGTTGGCCACAGCCTTGGGCGCCACCTCGTCATGCAGCTCAATGACTAGCCGTCCTGCACACAGCGACGCCGGCGGCGTCGTCCGCATCCGCCCCTGGCTGCTGTACTTTGGGTTGCTTGTGTACAGCTCAGCTGCCAGAGCAGCCTGCTCCTCATCAAGCGCAGCCAGCTCGGCGCCGAGCCCGTACGCGCCGCCCTCGGCCGCCACAAACGCACACCCTCGCGCATACGCCGCGTTCTCCTCGCTCCATGCCGCAGCGTCGCCGATGTGGATGTCCATATACACCCGCGTCCGGCTTGCCATGGTCGACCACCGGCGGCACGAGTCGAGTGGCTCCGCTGCGCTCTCATTCATTACGCTCCGATTCATTACGCTCCGCTCGACTCGATCTTGCGGCCCATCAATCGTCGAGGAGGGGGTGAAAGCCGGTGGCGCGGGGCGGAAGCGATGCTTGCGGCGTAGCCGCCGCGGCGAGGCCAGATAGGCGGCGTACTGGCGGCCCAGATCGGCGCGGAGCTCCAGGCGGGCACATCGGCCGGCGGCGCGGGTGATGACGTGCAACTGGCTCAGCACCATGTCGCGGACATCAAGCGGTGGCATGTCGTCTAAGCCTTCACGCTCGATAGCGGCTAGCACCTCAAAGACAACCTGCCGTCCGAGAGCAACCATGAACCCACAGTTCTGAGATGCGCCCGACTGCTGCACAAAGTTGGAGACGCGGCGAAGGCCAAGATCCGCCCCATCGTCGACATTGCCGAGCACGCCAGTTCGCAGTAGGCCGGCAAGCGTGTCCTCGGCGGCGGTGTCGTTGAGGAAGTGGCCGTGCCCGGTCGGCAGCGAGTCGAGCGAGACAATGTCGATGACGCCGCTTGTTGTGTCCATCGTGCACAGCAGCTGCGAATAGTGGCCGCCGTGGAGCCCAGTGACCGGGATCGAGACCAGGATGTGGCGCCAGAGCTCGCGCTCAACGAGCTCCTTGGCAGTGTCAGGCTCGTCAAGCGAGAGGAACGGAACAACGTCGTAGACGCCGAGCCAAGCAAACGGCGCGCGCTCGTCATCACCCACGGTCCACTCCTTCGGGCCAAGCTGGTGGGCGAGTCGCTGGCTCAGATACTCCATCCAGTCGACCTCGATTTGCTCCTCCTCTTCAAGCTGCTCCAGCGAGTCGCCCATCAGCGCGAGGTTGTACATCTCCGACAAAGCCGCCAGGAACGCCCGCCGCGGCTGCTCATCGGCATCCAGCAGCTCGGCATACAGCTCTGCACCCGACGCCGACGATGACTCGACCGCCACCACGTACGAACCGCTAGACTCGCTCTCCGCCGACCCCGATCTCACCAGCTCCGACTCGGACGTCCGCTCCGAGAACGATGGATAGGGTGAGGACGACCGAGCGCACGACGAGTACGAGGCCGAGGACGAGGAGGAGGACGACGAAGAGGAGGGAGGGCGGGAAGTTGAAGTTGAAGACTCTGACGAGCTCCTGTCTGACGATGATGACGACGATGAGTGCGTCGTCGAGGCCGAGTCGTTCGACGACGACATGCGTCGCGAGCGCCGCGAGCGCCGCGAGCGCCGCGAGGACGACGTGCGCCGCGAGGACGGCTTGCGGGAACGCCGGGAAGGACCTTGGCCACTACGGCGGGATGAGCAGCACGGCATGGGCAGAGGTGTGGCAGAGAGCGGTGGGTTGGGGGCCGGGGCTCAGCGGGACATGTCCAGCACCGGGGATCGAGCGGGCAGCGGGCCGGGCGACCGCTTCCCGCTTCCGAGTATGGCTGCCGTTTATGATGCAGCATCATCGCGGTCGTGGCTGCTAGTTGCACCGTCGGTTGCAGTGACAGAGTCAGGGTCGGCAGGCTCAGCTGGAACTGAAGCCGTAGCGCCGTCGTGCTCGGTCTCGGCATCCAAAGCAGACTGGAGAATCGAGATGACGTCGGTGATCGTCGGCCGTGCGGCGGGATCGAGAGTGTGCATGCGATGGATGAGGTCGGTCACAAGTGGGCAGGCAGAGGCCGATGCATCGAGCACCGCCTGAGCTGCTGGTGTGTAGGCGCCAGCGACAATGGCCTGCATGGTGTCCATCTCGCTCGTGTGCTCAAAGGGGAGCGGGCCAGAGGCGTTGGCCAAGATCATAGCAAAGAGCAGCGTGCCGAGCGACCAGATGTCTGATGCCCTGCCGACGGTCTTGGGCACTCGTAGTTGCTCGGGTGACATGTACGGGACGGTGCCGGCAAACGGAAGGCGTCGGACACCCGGAGTGGCCAGCAGCTTGGCCTCGTAGCCACGAGCAGCAGCAGCGAGCGGTGAGTCGTCCAGGACTCGGACACAGCCCATGTCGATGAGTACTGCCAAAGGAAGATCGGCGTCCGGATTCGAGGCCAAAACCACGTTCTCAAGCTTGACATCGCGGTGAACAAGGCCAAGAGCATGCAACCACTCCAGTGCACGGGCGACGTCGAGAGCAACTGCGAGTCGGGCGCGTAGCGGACGTGGCGTCGCCAGCCAGTCCGCAGCATCGCCGCCGGCATACAGTGGCAGGACAAAGTAGAACATGTCTGGTGCGGCCATGATGCCGGCTACACGCGGGAGCGATGCCGGCGGCGGCGCATCGGCCCCGGCCGGCGGCGCGAGTATGGCCTTGTACACGTCGCGCTCGATCATGATGGCAGCCTCCTGGTGCTCGCGGCGGACGGCGCGACGAGACACAGCCTTGACGGCGTACTTCCTGCCTGAAGCCAGTGCATCCCCGCCGCTTGCAGTGGCATCAGACGCATCGGAGGCTGTCGGCGCCGCATCAGAGGCGGCAAAGACCTGAGCGAAGCGGCCCTCGCCCACGGCCTTGCCCAGGACCAGCTGTCGGGTGCTGCGGATGTGCATGGCGTGAAGAGGCGGAGGGGTGGAGGCGGAGGGCGAGGAGGGCGACGACGAAGAGGAGGAGGACGAGGAGGAGGACGAGGAGGGCAGCGACATGGTGGGCGAGGAGTGTTTGCTTCGGCGGTAGGTGAGCGACGAGTGTGGGGCGGCAGCGGCTCAAATGCGGCCGGCTGCGAAGCGGATCGAGGCAAGAAGCAGGCAGAGTGTACGGCTGTCGGTAGTGTACGGCTATCGGCAAATCAGCGGACTACGGAGGAAAGGTGGGTGCAGTCGGGTCGAGTGCGGCTTGCGTCTCGGCCATTAGGGCTTGGACGTGGTGGAACGACTCGCCGAGCGCAAAGGAGGCATCGTCGAGGTCGTCGTCGCCAAAGGTGGCGTCCAGCTCGTGATCCATGAGCGAGTCAGTGAGGTTCGCCTGAGTCTCGAGCGAAGCGCGAAGGACTGACCAGTGCAGATCTTCGCCATCAAAGGCCTGCCCCAGCGCCGACAACGCCGGGCGCACGTCGCCGCCGCTCTCGTTCAAGCTGCCGCTCTCGCTCTCGCCGCCAGCCTCAAAAACTTCAATGCGGCGGTAGGCCTCGTCAAGCAGCGCCTGCCATTGCGCACGCTCCTCGCGCCGCTTGCTCCGCTGGGCCTGGACAGCCTCCCGGAGCGAGACAACCTTGTCTTTGAGCTGATGGGTCAGGCGCGCGTACGATGCGATCTTGCCCGCCGCCCGCGCCACCGAGGCCTCGGCCTCGGCTAGCAGCGGGCGGGCGGCCTTGGCCGCGGCAGCCAGCTCGCGCAGCTGGGCATTCTCGGCCCGCAGCTCGGTAAGCTCGTCGCCAGCACTAACATCGTCCATGGATCCCGGGCCTGCGTCTGCAGCATCGCCTGGAGCGCCGTCGACAGCGGCGTCTCCAGACCAGGCGTCGGACCAGACCGACAGCTCTGGATCCTGCGAGACGCCAAACGATGGCGGGTCATCAACATCGTTGTCTGCGGTTTCATCAGCTGCCCGCAACGCTGCTGAACTCGCTGCGCCCGGCTCTGTCTCGCCCGTAGCCTCATCACGCTCGGTGCCACCGCTGCGCGAGCCTGCCTCACCGTGCCCGCCGCCGTAGTCCTCGTCGCCGTCGCCTCCGGACCAGTAGCTGCCGCCGTCGTCGACCGACGAGACCGAGGCATAGCCTGCCAGCTCCATGCCTCTGACGGCGGGTCTTTGCGTGAAGAGTGCTGTCCCGTGTGATTGGCGTGTGTCGGAGCCGGAGGTCAGTTGCCGGTGGCAGGCCGGCGGGCGGGCGAGGGGGCAGGCGGGCGGGCGGGCGGTCGGGCGGTCGGGCGAGCTGACGGTTGGGTGGATTGGCTCATCGGATGGCTTCGGTTTTGGGGAACATGCCTGGAGAAGGCTGGCAGGGGGCCACCGCGACCACCGCCACCAACGCCACCACCGCCAACACACCACTCGCACACGCCCACACTATCATCAGCTGCACCTCTCTGTGGGGTGGCAAGCGAGTACCGGTTGCGGGTTTACACACACACTCTCTCTCTCTCTCTCTCCTCCCTCCTCCCTTCCCCCCTCGGTCAGGCGCCATGGGTGCGTCGACGTCCAAGAAGGACAACACCCGCACGCCGCACAGCGACGAGGGTGCAGAGGGCGGGAGCAGGGGCGCAGCAGTCGAGACCCCGGTCAGACGTGGGCATGGTGTGGGCGTGGAGGGAGGCACGGAGCTGGGAGGAAGCCGACAGGAAGGAAGCGGGAGCGAGAGCGGGGCGCGGGCTCGGGCGACAGCGGCGACGACGTCGATTCAGGCGCCAACGAGCGGGAGCGGGGTGGCGCCTGTGGGCGGACGGGCAACGCTGGTGCCGACGGTGTTTCGGTGGATGGGCGGCGGAAAGTCTGTCTTTGTCTCGGGCTCGTTTGACGGGTGGGCGACGCGTATTCCGCTGGCCAAGTCGACGTCGGACTTTGCGACCATCATCGATGTGCCGCCAGGCACCCACGAGTACAAGTTCATTGTGGATGGGACGTGGCAGCATGCGCCGGACCAACCTGCGATGGAGCACACTGATGGCAACCGCAACAACGTGGTCAACGTGTCAGTTGCCGAGGTGTTCTCGGATGAGGAGTGGATCGATGGCGACACCGGAATCGCACCCGAGGACGAGAACGAGGACGACGAGGGATGGGGCCAGGTCGAGCCCGATGCACCCGACCAGTACGCGCGCCCGCCCAAGTCGGTGCCACCGCACCTCATGAGATGTATTCTCAACACGTGGCAGTCGAAGGACAACGCGGCGGTCCTTCCTATCCCGCACCATACCCAGATCTCGCACCTGTACCTGCAGCGCGGCTCGCAGCCGCACCTCATGTCGATTGCCACCACCGTCCGATACCGACGCAAGTTTGTGACCACGGTTTACAATGCGCCTGCGGTGTAGAGGTCAGGGACCGGCCCGCGAGCGGCGGAAGATGGACGATTTGCGCTTCTTGCTCGCGCCGGCAGCGCCGCCAATGGAGCGCGGCTCGACACGGAGCGAGGTGGTGTACAACGATTTCTCGTCCTGGACGGGCGCGTTGAAAATGAAGCGCTGAACAGAGAGGAGCGGTGCGAGTGCGTAGTACCCGGCGTAGTAGCCCTGGAGCTCCGAGACAATGCGGGTGACCATGCGCGCCTTTTCCATGTTGATCATGTCCTCGCCTACGTGGTCGGTGTTGCCATCGTCGGCAAAGGTGAGGTCGGTGAGGAAGAGACCGATGTACGGGACGCTCGGCGGCGTGGCGGCCTTGAGCTTGCTGCGGTAAGCGCCAAAGTTGGACGAGGTGGACATGATGGCGGAAATAGACTCAAACTCTTCGACCACCTTGGGCTCGACCGCTGCCCATGTCAGCTTCAGCCGTGAGATGGCTGCCGAGTGCAGCGCTGAGAGCACCTCCATGATGCCGTTAAAGTTGTCGAGGGCGAGGAGGTGGCGGGCGACGGCGACGTAGTACTTGATGAGGAAGGCCCGCCGCTCAACCGAGGGCGAGGCGAGGACTTGCGTGGCGATCATGCCCGAGACGTGGTTGAAGAACTCGATGAGGGCGAGGAGATGCGGCGCGTTGCGCTCCTTGCCCTTCTTTGCCCACGCCTGCTTCATAAACTCTTTGGCCTGGATCGCCCGCAAGAGTGAGTGCTCCATCAGCGTCAACTGCCGCGCGAGCTCCTTCGGCTCAACTTGAGTTACGGCCGTCACTTGCAGTACGTCAGGCATCATAGTGGGCGGTGCCGCGATGGCCGCGCGTGCAAACTCGAATTGCGAAGCGTTGCGCTCAAACAGCAGCAGCTCCATGGTGTCGAGCAGCCATTGCGCGAGTGCAAGGTGCCAGTGCCACTTGTTTTGCACGCTCTCGTCGTTGTCCGAGTCGCTTCTGGTGTTGGGCTCGCCGTCATTGCCGTCATCATCATCGTCGTCGTCCACAGCACCGAGCGCATGGAGAAAGGCGCACACAGCCCTGCGGACGCCACGGTCTTCAAAGTCGTACGGATGGGCATACATCCACCTGCGGAGAAGGAGAAAGACGCCGAGCTGGGTGTGGGCAGCGTGAAAGGCAGCCGGCTCGTCGCCCCACACTCCAACCAGCACCTCCATGAGTTCGGCCTCGAGCTCGCGTTCGGTGTAGCGAGCAGCCCGCTCGAGCATCGAATCCTCGAGCTTGGTTCGCTCCAGCGAGTGGGCATCGAGAACGGCCTCGACAGCAAAGCGAACAGCATCGCCTTCGAGCGGCGCTGCGACGGATGAGAGCGCGTCTGCAGCGGCGCGTAGCTCGGCGAGCGCCGTCGGCGCGTCGGCGCCCTCGGCCTGTGGCACAACAGCATCAGGCACGGCAGAGGCCTCCCAGAACCGGGCGATAACAAGGTTGGCAAAGCGAGGAGGCGAGACATAACAGCGGTATGTGAGGAGCGCAGCGTCGGTGAGCGTCGAGCAGGAGAGCAGGCCGTCAGTGATGGCATCCACGAGCTTTTCGACGGTGAGGCCACCGTAGATGGTGCCCATAGAGAAGAAGCCGGGCTCGGCGGCGTCGTCGACAGCAACATTGACGCCGGGAATGTGCTCCTCTTGGAACAGGTACATGCCGCGCTCGAGCTGCGAGGTCAGCTGGGCAAAATAAACATCAAGGTCGAGTGAGTTGTCAGCGTTGCGAATCGAGTCTGCAAGGGCGAGGCGCGGCGAGTCAAGATGGACATCAGCGAGGCCATCAAAGGCTTTGGAGAGGCCCAGGTTTGGATGGCTGCGCTCGGCGGCGGCCTCGGCCTCAATGGCCTTGAGCTCGTCGTCGGTGAGGGCAGAGCCGGAGTGAAAAGTGACCTTGCGGCGGCGCGACTCGGCGGCACGCTCGGCAGCGGCGGCGGCCCCAGCGTCGGCGATGACTTTTTTCCACAGCGCACGAGCCTTGGACCGGCGGAAGAAGCGCTGGATAATGCACGCCGACTCGTACTCGAGCAGCTTGTGCTGGTAGTCGGCTAGCAGCTTTTGCTGGTAGTTGACGGCGAGGGCGAGCTGGATGACCCGAATAAACCGCCGGCGGGAGAGCCATGCCCGGACAAACTTCTGGACCAAGCGGGCAGCCGGTGAGTAAAGCGAGGCTTGTAGCGAGCCAAGGTATGCGAGCGTCGACGGGACGTCCAGCTCGCCGCCCTTGCGCTTGACTTTGACACCAGTTGCGGCCTCGATGCCCTTGACAAACGACTTGGCGAGCGGGTTGGCCGACATGTCGAGGCTCTCGAGCGCCGCCAGTGCTGCCAGCGCTGCCGGCAGCTCGGAGAGCTTGTTGTGAGCAAGGTCGAGGGTGCGGAGGGCGGTGCAGGAGCCCAGCGCCGAGGGAAGCGACTCGAGCACGTTGTGGGCGAGGCGGAGCTCGACAAGCGCGGTGCAGCTTCGGATCGAGTGTGGGATGGTGGCGAGCTTGTTCTCGCTCGCGTCGAGCACCTCCAGCGCGGCAAGGGTGCCAATACAGCCGGGGAGGGCAGTGAGCTTGTTGTGGGCGAGGCGGAGGATGCGGAGCGCAGAGTGTGGAGACGCCACGCGCGGCGAGCGCGGCACTGCCAGCGCGTTGAGGCTGTCAGTCGAGAGGGCGCGGCCACCATCAGTGGCCAGCTCGTGCAATGAGGCTGAGGAGCCGCCGCGAACAAGCGACGCGAGCGCTTCCCCCGAGCGCGACGGAAGCCGGAGCCGCGGAGTCGACGGCCTTGCGGACTCGCGCGATGTCGTCGCGCTGGATGACGCTCTGGCCGAGTTGGCGGCGGCAGCAAGCTCGACGAGTGGTTTCTCCGAGTCGAGAAGAGCTGGGCCGATGCGATTGGCGTTGGCAGCGAGGTCTGCGAGCGCCGGGAGGGTGAGCAGCTCGCCGGGGAGCGAGACGAGGCGGTTGTTGTCGAGGTCGATGCGAACGAGAGTAGTGAGGCGGGCCACATCGGAGGGGATGCGCTTGATGGCGTTGTCCGAGGCAAAGAGGCCTGTGAGCGACGAGAGCGACCAGAGCGCGGCAGGCAAGAGGACAAGCTTATTGTTGGAGAGGGTGAGCTGGGTGAGTCCGGCGCAGTGGGCGAGGGCGTCGGGCAGGTCGGCCAGCTTGTTGTCCGCCAGATTGAGGGCTGTGAGGGCAGTAAGGGCGGGGATAGCGGTATCGTCGACCGACTTGAGCCCGTTGTGCTCGAGCGAGAGCGCCGTCAGCGACGACGCTAACGGGGTGAGGTCTGGCAGCTTGGAGAGCTTGAGGCCTGCGAGCGAGAGCGTGGGCGAGCCCGTGTCCGCGGCAGCCGCCACAGCTTTGCCCGCCTTTTTCATTTGGGGGGCGGCGTGGGGGTGGCGTGGGGGTGGGGGTAGGGTGGGGGTGGGTGGCGTGGGGGTGGCGTAGGGGTGGCGTGGGGGTGGCGTGAAGAGGCGTGGACGTGGGCGTAGGCGAGGGTGGCAAAGTGGCAGCAGTGGCAGCAGTGACCGGGGCTGTGGCAGGCAATTTGGCCTTTGGCCGTGCGAGCGGTGGCTTTTCGGCGAGTGTGGATTGACGGCTGGGGGGCAAGTTGGTGGCGGTGGCGGTGGTGGTGGGCGGTGGTCGGAAGGTCGGAAGCAAAGCGGAGCGGGAAGGGCCACCTCACGTCGGTTGCAAACGCAGCGGTCGGCAATTGCGGTCAGAAGTACTTTGAGCAGATAGAGAGTGTTTAGGATGAACAAGGTGTGGATGGTGGTTGTTGTGGTCGGCCTGGTCGGCTTGGTGGTGCTCCTCTCGCCGCCGCGGCAGCAGAAGCAGTACGTCCAGGTCCAGCCGACCGACTCAGGCAAGGCGACGGGCAAGGGCATGCGGCCGGGGCTAGTGAAGAAGGTGAAGAAGGAGCCCAAGTTTGCTTTTCACGAGATTGTGGAGCACGACCGGTACTCGTCCAAGCTCTGGCCGGAGGGCGTGTCGTACCACCGGGTATGGTTCGACACTGGCGCGCCGTACCACTCCAAGTCGCCGCGCCCGACGGTTGTCCTCCTCCATGGCTCAGCCTTTAACCGTGGCGTGTGGGGCGAGGCGACTGGGACGCTCAAAGCGCTTACCGAGTCGGGCATCCGCGCCGTGGCGCTCGATCTCCCGGGTTTTGCGCACACCAAGACCCCGCCGCTGACCAAGGGTTCGTCCAGGACCGAGTTCCTCGAGACGCTGCTGGCGGCCGAGGATCCGACCGGCATGGCTCCCGCACTCGCTGATGTTGAGGTCTTCAAGCACGTCCGCGTCACTCCGCCGTATGTGCTGGTGGCGCCGTCGGCAAGCGCGCCGCTGGCGGTCGACTTTGCGCTGGCCCATCCGGAGCTTGTCGACGGCCTCGTCCTCGTTGCCCCGGTCGGCCTCAAGCCGTACGCCAAGCAGCTCAAGGCCGAGTATACCGGGCGAGTCATGTTTGTGTACGGGACCGCCGATCCGTTGTTTGAGAAGCGGGTCGAGGTGTGGGACTACTTCCCTCGCGCCAACTCGCTCGTCGAGGTCGACATCCTCGACGGCTCGCACCCGGCGTATCTCGACGAGCCGGCCAAGTTTAACGCCCATCTCGCGGCCTTTATCACCGTGCCTGCGCCTCAGCCCGACGCTCGGGACAAGTCTGATCTGTAGCGGGTGGGCTAACCAGGCTGTAAACGGCACGATTGTTGACGTCGAGGTGCGTCGACGATGCGAGGCAGTCTGCGGGCGCTGATGCCTTGTGAGTAAAGGCTAGTCATGGCACGTTGGCTGCAGGAGAGGCGGGCTTGCAGCTGCGGGCTCGCTGCGCGTTTGTTGCGTTGCCAGACGATGGCGGGCAGAGGGCGGGTCTTCACGAAGACTGGGCAAACACCGGCAGGCCGGCCACCGGAGGGGGCCGAGACGACGCGGCGGCGTACACGGGACGACTCAACTAATCAAGTACGACGAGAGCATGACTGGAAGAGTAGCAGCGGCGCAGGTTTGGCAAACGGTGTGGCTGAGTTTGGTGGTAGCTGCGGTGGTGGCGTCGGCAGTGGTCGGGACCGCGCAGGCGCGGCTGCCACAGGCCCAGCGGTGCTCCGGGTGCGAGGTGGTGGCCGGAGCGCTGGCTGGCTGGCTGTTTGACGATCCGCCAGCGACGACGATCGAGGTCGGCAGCGCGCTCAACGATCCGACGTCGTACTCCAAGGTGGCGTATGCCTCGTCGGAGCTGCGGGTGATGGAGGCGGTGGAGGGGGTGTGCGGCGCGGTCCATCGCGGCTCGGTGGCTGTGGTGTGGACGTACAACCGGGCTGAGCTCACCAACCGGACGACGCTGTCGGCGGAGGCCAACTCGACGTCGGCGCTACCTGGAGTGCCAAACGTGGCCAAGGCTCTCCGCGACGAGTGCCATATCATGGTCGATGCCCACGAGGATGCGATTGTGCAGGCGTTCTACGCCCACTACGATTCTTGGATCGAGGCCCGCGACGATGCGGTCCGCGCTGTGTGCGGCGCCGACCTTGTGGGCGCCTGCGACTACTCGGACGCAGCGGCGGCGGCTCGCGCCGAGGCTGATGCCGCCGCCG